TGACTGATCCTGGAGAAATACCGAAATTCGAAATCAGGTAACAGGTCCTATCGAAATCCAAGAATACAAAATGATGTAAAGAAGGCACTTACGTGACTGAAATGTGTTGTAGGGGTAATTTGACCCACTTCAGTAATTATATTGGAGTCCGTCGACAATGGATCAATGACAGGTGGTTGAATAGATCGAGGACTCTTCGATTTTTGTTTCTGAAAGTAGAAATAAAAAAACAATAGAAATATGTTAAAACCCACATGAAGCGACTATAAACGAAAGGTTAAAATAAACGGGGAATTGAAAAAGAACCTTCGATTTTTTAGAAGAAGAAATAGTGGCCGAGCGTTTGCGCTTTCTAACAAAGGTCGAAGGATCCGACTCATCTGAAGACTCCCAGTTCTCTTGTCTCTTCTCCTGACCTTTCTCGACAGCAATGGCTTTGGAGGACTTCGAGACTGTCAATAAAAGAAGACAGAATTAGCTTACAACATACAAAGTCAAAAAACATGAAAAAGCAGTAAAACCTCACCAAAAGGTGATGGAGTCAAAATCTTGACTTGATCGATATGTACAAGCCAGGGAGGTAAGAGAACCTCAGGGAGATTAAGGTAAGGAAAATAAGATAGTTTTGAGACATAAATATCTTTGTTTTTGGGTTTTGGGCGAAGTGTTTCCCTTAGGGATCTCAATTCTCGAACCCATTTAGGATGAGTTAATGGTTTGGCAAGTCCAAAAGGAGCTGTGGGAAAAGTGGGAAGGCGATTTGGACAATACATTTCAAAGGGGGTTCTACCTAGAGGATTGATTATTTTGTGGTTCGATCGATTAACGTCTGTTTTATTGGATAAGGAGATAACAACATCATAATAGGTCGATTCTAATTTCAGTGGGGTGTAACATATTTGATAAAAGTTCTCGAATCGAGATATTTGAAGACAGTGGAAGTGTGTACCTTTCTTCGTTTTCGATTTATCCTGCAACACAAGAGAAGGATGAGCAGTCAGTTTCTGTCGAACTTCATCAAAAGCAGCATGACTACTCGAGAACCAACCGGCCCACCATTGAGAAAAACCCACAGTAGACAAATAATTTGACTCGAAAGCATAGGGGTAAAAATGCATCGGGGTCTTTGGTAAAAGCTTGACGAGTTCTCGACTAATCGTAGATTCAGTTAACTTGGACCTTGGGGAGGTATCGAGGGGGAAGAAAGGTAAAGACTGGCTCAAACCAAACTGCCTCGAGAAAAGCTGAGGATAATAAGTTATAAACTTAAAGTCTTTTGACTGAAAACCCGATATTAATACATCATGAGTCAAATAATTACTCCATATATCGATCAGCTCCGATTGCAACCCAGGAGTCGAGGCAGAGAACTTTGACTTAAACCAAATTGGTCCCCTAAGCTGGTCACTTAGTTGTCCGAGATGTGTGGTAAAGGGAGCCAAAGTCGAATCGAAAGTAAACCTTGTCAACAAAAAATTAAGATATCTACAATAGGCTGCTTCATCAGGCTTTTGGCGAGGATGACGAGAAGATAATCGAGTACCTTCTATATTCACACTTGGGGGAGTAGTGGAAGATGGGGGAAGGATACTCTCAAAAATAGAGCTTAACCATAACTGTACAAACCAAATGGGGTCAGAAAAATTTCCCGATGCTTTAGGAGTGCTCAAAATTTCGACAACCTCGTCGAAAGCGGTATATACATGGGCTAATAAAAGCTTAGCTAAACATACCCTAGGCTGGCCTACGTGTAGGAGATATGCAAGGTCAAACAGATGAGAGGAGATTTGGATGGATCGGGGGCAAAAAACATGGGTACATAGCCAATATACCAAAAAGACTATGTGTTCTTCGTCAGTCACAGCCATTGAATCGTCATCGACGAAGTGCTTCTCAAGAAAATGTCCGTAGGCCTTCGATTCCCAATCGATTTTAGACCTCAAAGAACTACTCGAAGGACATGCACCCTTAAAATACTTTTCCCCTACAGGCTTCAACCCAGTAATAGCCGCGATTTCGAAAAGGGTGGGCGAAAGAGGACCGCAGGGTAATTCCAAAGCATGTAAGTCCTTATTCCACAAATGAACAGTGGATAGAAACATGGCCATATCCAAATAAGACAGGTCACATCGGGACAGGTGCAAAAAATCGAAAATTCCCACACTTCTCCAGTGGTTCTCGAACTTAGCTTTAACCCTATCGAACCATCCGATATACAAGGGTTTTTTGGAAGGAGGGCTTGTCCTATACACCTTAGAGGTAAGATTCAAAAATTCAACCCTAACTTCAGGTTGATGTACAAGAGCCGGACTAGTCGGGAGGTTGAGGGGAGAGAAAATTCCATCGATAGGACGAAGAGGACCCCCAAAAGCAAAATTAATACCCTCAATATTGTAAGGAATAAGTACCTGTGTCTCGGAAATTTTCCGAGAAGCCTCCTCCATCAAAGGAATTGGAGCAAACTTCTGGTTATTAATCTCCAGAAGAGGAGCCGTCAGCGAAGGAAGAGGTGGAGCCGAAAAATCAGAAGATTTGGAGGAAGTGGCCATCTCAGTAACTGGTAGGACGAAGAAGAGCAAGGCAAAAGATGAAAGCGCAGGGATGAAGACGAGCTCAAGGAAGAAGATGAAGTTGCAAAGGGTAAAGGTTCGCGTAAAAAACCAGAGTAAAAAACCAATGAAGAGATTAAAAGGAAAATCACTTAGGGAGCTGGAAACGACAGAGTTGAAAGGTAATTAATGTGGCTTGTACTGTAAGGCAGCAGACTGACGAGACAACGACATAAAGCAAAAAGAAACCTAAAACCCCTTAAACCCTAGAACCCCAGAAACCCTAAACCCTAAATTCTGTGGGCCTCCAAACACTAAGGCGGGAATATTGAAAGAATATAAACAAACTATTCATATTCTTCCAAGGGGGCATTTTGTTAGTAGCAAATCGAGAAAAGCGATCAAAAATGAAGGAAAGAAATGTGACTCGATAAGATAAACAAAAATTCATTCGATGTCTAATTAGAAGTACGTAGCATATAGCATCGAAAAGCACAATCGAGAATCGAGTGAATGATAACCAAATGCCTGTTGTCGAATAAAAACTAAGTCATGAGACTAGGGTTAAAAAGGAATAGTAAGCAATGTGAAATTCTCGAAAAATACATAATCGAGAAGTAAAGAAAGCCTACGTGGACATCGAGACTTTGGTCAAACCGTGAAGAGAAGAATAAGTCAAACGCACGTATAGAGAGCAGTTTCGAAACCGTGGAGGAAGTCGAAGATCGTGAGAACGTGGGAAACCGTAGAAGATAAATTGCCATATGCACGTAGAACGTGGTAGCAGTCTTGTTAACTGCTCCTGGAAAGCTTGAACAATGCCCTATAAATAGAGCAAAGGAGAAAAAAGGGAGGGGGCAGAAATTGGCAGAGGACAGAATCAGTAGTGAAAAGTCTACCGGAGAAACGACGAACACCATGAAGCTTCTGGCAATCTGGATTTCCTTGCTCACCGAGTACATTTATCGCTTCTGTATTTTCCTTGGTAATTTACTTTGATGCAACTTAAATTCAAGCAGTTTTATATTTCGTATTTTCGATTCCTTGTCGTTTCAGTTCAATGAAAGTTTAAGTTTCGTATTTACGATTTCCTGTTATTTAACATTCCGTAAATCTCGATTTCCTGTCATTTACTTTCCTTGCAATCTCGATTTCGTGTCATTTATATTTGCATTGTTTTCGATTTCTTATCATTTATATTTGCATTGTTTTCGATTTCTTGTCATTTACAATTAATGCAAATTTGGGGTTTTCGCACTTTACATTTTCTCGCAATTTAATATTCCGTTTCTCGATTCGATACTTTTACTGCTTTCGATATTTTAAATATAAAAAACTAAAAAATAGCATTTATATATATATATATATATATATAAATATTATATGAATTTCCAATTATTCTATCTTGTGTCATTCGTCATTCATGAAATAGGGCAGAAAATGATGAGTAAAAGTGAGAGGTCTCCACTTTTGTGACCAAAGTAGGAGCCTTTGGAAAATGAGTTTGATGTGCAAAAACTTTTCTAAAGTGTCCCAAGATTTATTAAGTTTTGATGAATGCAAGTGGATAATACAAAATTAAAATCGCCTTCCAACACTAAAAAGGAAAAGTACACAAAAATAAAGTAGAACAAAAAGTTTAAGACAATGGAATTCACATTAAAATAGCTGTCCTTTCTTATGTTATAAATAAAAAACAATTTTTTTTTATTAAAAATTTGTATCTTTTAAAAATTTATTCTCTCTTATTTTTATTTACATTCTTTACCTCTTTTTTATTTTATTTTATTCTCTCTAGCACGATTATGTGTCATAAATATCAGGGGCTGGTAGAAACAAAAATCTATAGTGTAGAAAATAAAGAGAAAAGGAAGATAGAAGATGGAAGTAGTGAGGAAGAAAGAGAAACCCTTTTGAGTGAAAAGGATTGGAAACAGGTTTTACTACTTTTGTTCACTGTAGCAATACGGGTCCCATCAATTTCTCACTTTCTTCCAAAAAAAATTCTTTCCTTTCATTAAAAACTAAAATTGATAATTTATTTGTCATTTTGATCTAGTTAAACAGGTTAAATAATGCATCTACTTGGGGAATGAAATTAACATTTCGCTGAAACATATGCTTCATCGTACAAATTCTCACTTTGACTTGCACAAATATGGTTGGATATGGATGATGAATATTGGAACTTGTTGCAAGAATGAATCTAATTAATTAATTAAGTAGAGGCATTGATATAAGAATTGTGGGAAAAAGTTGATTCATTGAATTAAAGAAGAAGGTGTTGAGTTGCGGTTGTTGATGTAGCTTTAAACAAGTGGCGTGGGGAGCATCTGGGACACCACTCCACACCATGGTCCAACCATCATCATCGTCATCATGTTAAAGTGATTAAGCTCTTACTCTCATCATCATTTTCATCCATTTTTTCACCAAAACACACACAAAACCTCATTCACCATTTCTAAACTTGTATTTCATTGGAACCCAGCCAGATTGATTAGCTTTAGAAACTGATTCTTCAATCACTCTCTTCTTTCTTTTTCAGAAATTAAATTAATATACAATTATGATATATTGTGTGTCTTTGTATACTACTGTAGTGAGAAAACATTTAATCTGTGAAATGAAAAGATATACTGATAAAGCTTTTAATCTGTCAAAAAAGAAAAAGAAAAAGAACTCAACGCCGTTTTGTCCCCCAACAACCCTATAGCGTGACCTACACCGTCGATTCTTTTCAATTATTACGGTACGTACGGGAGTGGATGAATATGCACCGCCACTGTTTCTCTTTAACCTCACACAATCTCCACCTTTTAATAGATGTTAATTCCATTTTTATTTAATGATAATCTTTTCATCTTTTATTTCTCATCGTTTATTCATGCGAATGTAATAAAAACTTTCTCAACGTATGTTTTTCTTAAACTATGGTTTATAAAATCAGCCCTTAGAAACAAAAAGTTTTCTTTTCCTTTTTATTCTAGTTTGGAGAGGAAAAAGTTTAACAGTGAGAGCAGAGAAGGTTCTTTTCTGCATCAACAAAACCAGCTCCTGCCACTTGCTGTCAATATCACACCATAATTGCTGCTGTTCAAGCTCTGCTTTCTGACTTGCTTGCATACCCTCTGCTTTTCGTAAATTTAGCTATCATATAGAGTATATACTATATACCATATCGTATACACCACCTGCATAAACCTGTGTTGCAGATTTGGGATACTCTCGTCTTGTGGTTTTGATGTCTCGAGCATTGGAACATGATTACATAGGGTTGGCAGAGAAACCGCCAACGGACGGAGGCTCTGACAAACCTCCTTCTTCTTCTTCTTCATCATCATCTTCGTCTTCTGAGGATGGTAAAACCTTATCACTCAACTTGAAGGAGACGGAACTGAGGCTTGGCCTCCCTGGTTGCGAGTCTCGAGAGAGAAAATCAGGTGCTGGACTCTGTCTTTTTGGCAAAGAGTTGCAGAACAAGAATAATGTTTGTTCAGTTGCAAGCCCTTTGAAGGCTGGGGCTAAGAGGGGCTTCTCTGATGCTATTGACACTTCTTCTGGGAAAAGGTGTTCTTCTGTCACTGATGGATCTCAAGGAGCTGCTTTGTTCTCTCCTAGAGGAGGCATTGTTGGGAAGCCTCTTATTGGTTTAGACACTCAGACTAATACCCCACTGGCTAACACCTCCATCAAAGAGGTTGCTGCAGTTCCTCAATCTGCCAAACCGGTTCAGGAGAAGAATGATCAGGTTTCTGCAACAAATGGTCATGCCAGTGCTCCATCTGCAAAGTATATTTTTTTGCATCCTTCTTGTCTTGTATTATTTCTTTGTTTTCTTTTCTGTTCACTAATCCACACGTGTTGCTTATGCTTAAAAGAGTCTGAGTTAGATGTCTTGTTTTTGTTGAAAGATATAGCAATTCATGAAACTAACTTCTAATTGTCTGTTCAATGACCTTTTTACCTTCTCATGGAGGATTTTAATTGGTGAGCATGGTGGACGGGAAAATAACCTTTTTGAAATCTGGTATTAAATCTATTGTAGTCTTTCATACCTATGAAATAAAAACATACTAAACTTTCTCTCTGCCAGATGTGGTTATAGCTTTTGTAAACTAATTGTGTGTGATTTAAATTTTTCATAGTTTTAATCCCTGTTTTTCAGTTAGACGTTGTTTCTGAAGCAAAACGTGAAGTGGCAAATGAATTTTTTCCTTTATGGGAAAGTTTTCATCTTCTGATGTTACTTTTTATATTTTTCGTTGGTACTGATAATAATGAACACTCTGGAACAGGGCACAAGTCGTGGGATGGCCACCAATTCGATCTTTTCGAAAGAACACGATGGCATCTAATTTGTCAAAGAACAATGATGAAGGCGAGGGAAAACCTGGGCTTGGTTGTCTCTATGTAAAAGTCAGTATGGCTGGTGCCCCTTATCTTAGAAAGGTTGATCTCAAAACCTACAACAACTACATGGAACTTTCTTCAGCTCTTGAGAAAATGTTCAGCTGTTTTACCATCGGTACTTCCTCTACCTTCTTCAAATTCCCTCATTAGCTAGTTATTTTGATTTTGACATTCCATTCTTTATCATCTGTAAAATTAATTACTTGCCCTTATTTCTAAAGTTTCTTAGTTCGACTTTTAAAGGCTTATAGTATTTGTATAAATTGGAATTTTAACATTTGTGTAGTTTTTACTTGGCAAGAACGAGCCTAAGCTGCTTCTTTAGCCACAGTAATCCCCTTTTGAAGTTCTGCATAACCAGTTTGCAGCCTAACATTTTCTTATTCATAAAATTAGGTCAATGCAATTCTCCTGGACTTCCTGGTAAAGATGGACTAAGTGAGAGCTGTTTGAGGGATCTTCTCCATGGATCTGAATATGTTCTTACATATGAAGATAAAGATGGAGACTGGATGCTTGTGGGTGATGTTCCTTGGGAGTAAGTTATTTCTCCTCCTGCCATGATTATAATTTTAAGATCATGCTCTGGTACAATGTCTTTTTTCAATTATGATCGTTCAGTGGTTGAACTTGCTAAAATCTTCCCTTGTTAATGCAGGATGTTCACTGATTCATGTCGGAGACTAAGAATCATGAAAGGCTCTGAGGCAATTGGGCTAGGTATGTCTTTTTCTTTTTTAAAACATGCATTTACATGTGCACTAATTTCCAGATTAAAGGCTCTTCTGAGGAGGTTGTAATGCTATTCTGTTGCTTAAAAATTGTCTTGGTTGCAGCTCCAAGGGCCATGGAGAAATCTAGAAGCCGAAACTAATGCATCAAAACCCGTTAGACCAAAACGGGCTATTCACTACAGCATATAAAGACTTACAAGGGCGTTTGAGTATATGATTCTGTTCAAAATTAAAAACGTATGTTATTCAGTGTCTCAGTTTTTGTGCATCAATAGTCTGACAAGTTTTATCATTAGAATTCAACCGGAGACATCCAGAAAATATATACACATATTTGTTTGCTTCTCTATTTTGAGTATCTTTAGATTCTTGTTGCTGTATAAAAGAATTGCTTGTTGTGCTTTTCCTTCTCTATATCTATTCTGAATTTTCTTCATGTATTTGTTTTCATTATATATACTAAAACATTTGTATTTTGTTATTAAAATGGTAATAAACATATCTATTTGGCGTATAATGTTAGTCCCCCAAATAAAGAAGAAATTTGCAGGTTGTGCTGTTTGTGATTATGTCTAATTTCTGTCATTATTCTTATATATCCGAAGGTTGCTGCTGCCAATTCAAGGAAGCTGATTACCTGTTAAATGAATAGAAAATGCCAGAGTACATCGTTTAATTGGAAAACCAAAATTGAAATTCAATTCTAAGGTTAAGGCCGAGGGTTGAATATATATATTTTCAATAAATGTGTAATTTTATGTTTTGTGTATCTAGGTTTGTTTATTTTTAATACAGTGACCGTCACAAAAGCCATAATTTTAAAAGTAATGTCTGTTGAAAAGACAGAAAGGTTCTACCTAAAGGGCTTGACTTTGCTACAGTAAAACTGTCAGATTTGACTGGGAAATTACAATTATGTCTTCTAAATGATATTCATTTTAAAAAAAACTCTATCTTTATAAATAAAATAAAGAAAATAAGAATGATTTTGTTAGAAGCATAAAAAATAATTATTTGTTTAAAATTAAAGAAAAATCATCCAATATTCATGGAAATAAGTGTATTTTCTGTACTTTTTGACGCAATAAATCAGTTATTGATATTTATTTATAAATAAATAAAAATTAATTTCATCATTTTAAATTTAAGTTTATTTGAAATATATTATACTATACCAAATTGAATATAGTCGAATTTAGTGTGATAGATAGATACTGTTGAAAGTCCCACATCGTCTATCTCATGTCGTTTAGTATGGTTTAAATACATGTTAGGCTACTGCATATATTGACAAATTGGTTTTATGTGGGAACCTTAACATGGTATCAGAGCCAAAACTTAACATTTTTCCGGTTATTGTCATGGGCCAAAAGTTGTCCTTTAGTTAGGTCAAAAGTACCCTTTGCCTGATCCGGCAGGTTTCCAGGATGTTGAAAATCCCACATCGCCTACCTCATGTCATTTGGTATGATTTAAATACATGTTAGGCTCCTCCACGTATTGCCAAATTGGTTTTATGTTGGAACCTTATCAGATACATAATTATTTACTTGCACAGATTAAGAAAGAGGAAAGTGTGGTTTTTGCAAGCTATCTCAGGATGAGGGACCATTATATCATTCAAGATTTTGCAAGCCATAGAAGATAAATTGGAAAGCTACAATGGGTGACTTTATCTAATACAAGATCTACACGTGCTACATATCAAGACCCTGGTGTTTCACTACAAAACACTACATATTGATTGGTACGCTGGGAGGGAGAAACACCAGGAATGCTTCATGAAGTTGATTCCAGTAAACTTCTGATTAAAACATTACCATGTGTGACGATGGAAGGTGTCTTGCAATGGGATAAACTGGAAGAAGGAAAAGGGACCGGGCTTTGTGAATAAAAAAGAAACGTACCATGTTTGTTTCACGTGTCAAGCAGGTGGTTCGTGTCCAATCCGACTGCTCTGCATCCACGTTCGATCCACGTCTGTGTCGGATTCGTGTCAGAGACGCGGAAATGACATTTTAGAAACGTGTTCATAAGTTTGTCCTATGAAAATTGGATCGAAATCAAACATACAAAGATAGATTTACTTACCATGCCGCCATAGAAATAGGTAACATGAGTTCCGACCCATGAGAACAATGGCAACCAAGTTACGTGAACAAGTGAGAACCAAATTAGAAAGAATCCACCATTGAGTAAGGATAACTTAACTTGAATTTCAAAAATAAATGGCCAAGAAGAATTAAGAAAACTACATCTTAAGCCAAATCAGGCAGAAGAACTATTCATGCATAATACAGGTACAAAACTTCCTTCTACTATATCATATCCTTTCTAAACAACTCTAAATTATTGTTCAGATATCTGTATATAAACCATCTGAGTGTATCCATTAAATACAGATTTGTCAAGGTTGGCCAAACCTAGCCTTTGGAACAAGCCAAACCGGCCATCTTCAACAATAGGAGGGGGTGCACGAGCAGGATCGTATCTGGTTTGATGGGTGAGGGAAGGACCAGCAGCTGGAGGGAGTTCCCAGTAAACATCAAGAATAGATTCAACATATCGGCTATTCTGGAAATGTTGCGCATAAGATATTGGCTTATTACTATGATTGAAGTTATCCCGCATATAGCCTCTAACTCCCCACCATGCTTCACCTGGCCCACACAGTTCTTCAATATCAACTGCTTTCTCCCAGAATTTCTTCCTCCTTGACCTGATCCTAGCTTCATCACTGTCTTTAAAACAACTGTGGCCCCCACCTAAGATAAAAAAAAGCAAATATAAGTGAATTTCCATATATGGAACAATGTTTTGCTTACTAGATACTCTAAATTCTAATGGATTAATGTATTAAAATTTTAAAATAGAGACATAAACTCCACACCGCTATAAGAATTATCAACCGTTATCTTAAATCTTAGAAGCACCAATACGAATTTGTATATGATATCGATACTCTAAGATATTCCACCTAATCAATAAAGTATCCGATACTATGAAGCACCAATACTTTTATTTCCTCTATCTCATATTAATATTTTTAGATATTTCATCAATAAGTAATGGTAAAGTATCCGTGCTTTTAAAGCATTTATATACAATAAAACAACAACAAAAATATATAAATATGTATAATATAGAAACATTGTCTCTTCATAATCCAAGGAGGCAAATTGTTCTCTTTATGAATTATTTTAAAAAATATGAAATTGATAGTATTATATACGTAAATATTATAGAGTAATTTACTACGACAGTGATTTACAATTTTGTTTTATTTCAATATTGTCAACAAAATGTGTTCATAATTTGGATTTGTAATATGCATCTTGTTCATATCCAGTTATTTTTAGAATAATTTATCGTCATATCAGATATACAAAGTATTCGTGCATCATAATTTAGAAAATGCTTGCACAAAACTTTTGTAACCAAAACCACGAATTGAGAAAGTTTTATAGTATAGAATGAATCACTTTTCTAGTAATAACTCATATAAATGCACATTTTCTGCCGCTTTCTGGAATCGTCTAGAGTTTCTAAGCCTTCAATTTGTCTAATACAACACATCAGTCCTTCAAGATAAATATTTAATTAGTCTAGCCAAAACCCATCAATGATAGCTAATTGAAACATATCAAGCCTTTGTAAATATGTCTAAAGGAAATGCAACACTGATGAGAGTCTATAACACAAGTTACAGGCAATCCTCTTATTGAAACAGAAAGAAAATTCAGTAAAATATAACAATTCTAGAAAGTGAGAGTTTACATACCTCTAATATAAGACTGATCACATATCTGCCTTAATGAATAATGATCACCAGTACCAGTGTCATAGTTATCCTCAAACACAAGATGCTGGAACCCAGCTTTCAAAGCTTGTTCAATTCTGCTCATGACATACATCAAATATAGTAATAATCAATAACAGTTTCATCAGAAGTGCTCAACTATTAAATCGTGCTTCTCAAAGATAATGCAAGTCACCTTTTCAATTCATTCTGATGGTCATCAAAAAATATAAGAACCCGACTAAGGTCCAAAATCCCATGTTTTTTCATCACATTGGGCCAGTCAACACTCCCAAAGTCCACAAAGTCCTTCCCAGCATAATATGTGCAATTCCCATCAACATAGGCCGGTCCCTTTTTCAGGTACTTTTCAGGATGCCTAGGTGAAAGAGAAATAATCGGTGTGTCTGGCATAGCCTGCCGCAAAACCCAAGTTGAATGTCCCTTGAAAGCACCACTCTCGATCATCAGATCTGGCTTCAGCCAGTGGGCAATAAACCAAAGCCCAAAGCTGTGGTCAAAACCCATCCCATACATGTTGTTCTTGATTGGCCGGGTTTCATATATAGGAACAAACTCTTCTAGTCCCTTGAGCAAATCTTTTGATGTCCATTCCACAGTTTTACCATGTTTCGATCTGCCTTTACCAAGGATAAACTTATAAGTATCCAACAACAATTCAATTGCATGGGTTCATGATTTCAAAATTCGATGTAAGGATGCAAAACAAAGAGTGTTAAATTAACAATCAACATTTTACTCCAATTCCAGCGTGTTTAAAATAATATCCTCGTTCATAAAAGATTAGTTGGTGACAAACACTTCACACATCTGTTACCTAATACTTCACACTTCACACATTGAGAATGGAATGTGATGTGGGGGCATTTGATCTTTCAGAGCAGTCAAAGAGAATTATGAATTCGTGTTGAGCAACCAGAAGATAAAGTCTATCCACTAAAAAAGGCTCTATAAGGCTTATTGCAATCCCCAAGTGTATGGTACAGCAAAATTAATGAACAGTTATTTAGCTTGGGCCTTCAAAACAAAAGGGTTAATCTGAAGCTACAGTCTATGTTAGTGTGTTGATGCTAATATTTTAATCATTTCTTAGTATGTTGATTATCTTTTGGTGATAGGAAACAATCTAGCAGTATTTGATAAATTCAAGCAAGAAATGAAGGATGTATTTGACATGACTGATCTTGGTCTTATGGTCTTATATGTAAAGGAGATCCTAAAAAGGTTTCACCTAGAGAATGCAAACTAATGAACACTCCAATGAATCAAAAGAAGATTTTCAACAAAGAGGATGGGGCTAATAAAGTTGATGAGGCGCATTTGAGAAGCTTGATTGAATGTCTAATGTATCTTATATCCACAAGGCTTGACATTTTATTTCCAGTTAGCACACTGTCAAGATTCATGCACTATGCTAGTGAACTGCACTTCTAGGAAGCGAAAAGAGTTTTGAGATACTCAACGGAACTGACAATTACGGAGTCAAGTACTACCCAGGTACGAGACTTCAAATTATTTATTTTCTCGGAATGTGATTGGGCAGGTAACTTGGATGATATGAAAAGTACTTCAGTGTATTGTTTTAGTATGGGTTCAGGTGTTTCCTCTTGCTGTTCCTGGAAGCAAGAGGTTGTAGCTCAATCAACAGTAGAAACTGAGTTTATTGCAGCTGTAATAGCTGTGAACCAAGATAATTTGGTTGAGGAATATTTTGACAGACTTGGGGCTAAAGCAAGATAAAAGCACTAATGTTTTTGTAGATAACCAAGCAGCAATTTCAATTTCACATTATCATGTATTTCATGGGAGGATTAAACATTTTAATATGAAGTTGTTTCACTCAAGAGAAGTTCAAGAAAATGGTGATGCAAGTCTGGTTTACTGTTGCATAGAAGATCAACCTGCTCATATGATTACCAAAACATTCAGTAGATTCGAAGTTTCTAAGGAAGAAGCTAGGAGTTTGCAGCCTCCAGAAGGAGAGTTGAGAATGTGCCTAGCACATTTTTTAAGAAGCTTCAGGTTTGTTTTAGTTTGAATAAGTCATATTGTTTCACTTAAGATCTGTCATTAGCCATAAATGGGTTAGATATTTCCTATTTTTCAGCTCAGTTATTAGTAGTGATTGCTATAGAATCATGGGTTATGACCTCTTAGTCAGTTATTTCCCAATGTATTTAAATTAAGTTGCATTAGAATGAAGTATGCGTTCCAGCAAATACTCTTATTATTTGATCACCTTCTTCTCTGCTCCTTCACTGTTTTTCTCTCTGTTTTGCTATTGCCTTTACTTAAAAACCGACAAATTCGACTTCTAAAATAGTATAAAAGACTGTCTTAATAGTTGACGTACAGACCATTGGACCAAGCAGTAATGAGACATTATCATATCACCCGCAAATTGAAGTCCTCAGATTGAGGAAGTGTATTAAAGATGCTACATTAATTATGCAGTGATGTGGTAAAAAATGTTTATAAAGTGGGGGAAAAGTCCAAATTCAAAGATATAACATTATTTAATAAAACTAACGAAATGTTTTATTGGAAATTATAACGTTTATTTGTGACAAAAACTTTTCTTTTATTGATTTTGTAAGGATGAACATAGAAGCAATGGTTAGCAGAATTGGCAATTCAATGAAAACACAACCACATAACAGCCTGTGAACAGCTGGCTAGTTTAGCATACACTTCCCCACGGGTTGGATTTCATCAGCACTCAAATAATGCCAAATCCAGAACAACCAATTACGGAACAACACATGCACTTCAAGGATCCGGAAATAGAAAAATTGAATGCAGCATTTGATTTAATTTATTTGTTTTTATCTTCCACATCTCCGGACCAAAAATTACTCGGATCGAAACGAAACCAAAAAAATGGCGAAGGAAGAGATCAGATCAGCGCAAAGAGACTTACAGCAAGGCACGCCGAGGGCTCCGAAATCGGAGTCGAGGCCGTCGAAGCCGAAGAAGGCGGCGCGGGAGACGGGGTTGTAGGAGGAGGAGATGCAGACGAAGCCGCGAGAGGTGAAGAGGAATGAGAGGGAGAAGAAGATAAAGAGGGAAACGGTGATGCAAGGGAGGTAGAAGGAACCGGAACCGGAACCGGCGATTCGGGAGAGATAATTGGAGGCTCGGGTAGTGAGGCGGAAGAGAATGTGTTGGTGCTTCTTGGTCTTGGATTCATCGGCGCCTCCGCCAGCTTCGGCGTCGCCCTCAGCGTAGGAGTTGACGCGGCGGGAGGAGAGTGTGCGCTCCAACATTGAGGGGGCGGAGAGATTGGGATGGCGGTGCGTTGGGGTGGTGCTCTGTGTCTGTGAGGATGGTCGAGGTGATGACATTCTTATTCTTTCTTCTTTTTCTTTTTTTCTTACTTTTTATAAATCCATCGATAAATAACCCTTTTTTATTTCTTGTCCCAGTGCCACACACTGTCTCTTCTCTTCTCTACGCAAACGCGGTGGTCTATTCACACAATCATTTATTACCATATTTTTCATTTACTCAAATATAAAAATATATTTATATTTACTAAAGGAATCTTCAGTTATCAAAGATTCCTAAGAAGTGAAAGATTTAGTTCCATAAATCTTGTTAATTTTGAAAATTCTTGATCTATGTCAATACAAAATTAATATATGTATGCCTATAATTAAAAACTAAATAATAGGATTTTTCTAAAACAAATACCCGAAAGCGTGGTACTGTGATTTATTCCTTGTTTGATAAAGAAGGGACGAAAACAATGGTGAACAAAGGCAAGAATACTCCTGCAAAAAAAAATCCGTAGCAAACTCAAAAGTAATCTGGCATGTAAAGGAACCCACCAAACGCAACCCAATTCAACAATATAAACAACGTGTATGTATTTTCCAAATTCCATTGTGCCATGGTGTGTCTGGGAGCTCTGTTTGGATGCAAGCGTTCCAACTCCTTCGTAGCCTATCTTCTTTCAGCTTTGGTCTCCGTTTCAATTCTTTGCGTTTTGCGTTTGCTATGTTACGGCCTTGGCCGGTTACTAAAGAGGTGGAGAGGTCGTAATCCAAACAGCGCCTTAGAAATGCAATCACAGAACACAATTACAAGGCTTGGCCAATAGATTCTTCTACAACACCATTTCCAGCTCTTTTTTCTTTTCTTAATGTATTTGCTCTTATGTTCTTATTTTACGAATTTTCCCTCTTCTCTTCTGTCTCTTGCTCCAAAGCTGAAACAACAGTAATTGGAACTGCAAGTTAAACCATTAACACACTTCTATTCTTCTCTGCAACAGAGTATTCGTATTCGAGTATAATTACTCTGTTAATTTTTAAACCATGTTGTTCTTTTATCAAATTTAGCTTCTTTATAAAAAGAGAAGAGAAGGGTCAATATCATTCTGATTCTCTGTGCTACTTTCAATAATTTGATTGCACATATGCGCTTACCCAACTGATGTGCGCAAAGTTTCTCTGTTGTTATTACATCATAAAACCTACGTATTGTTTTCAATAAACAAGAAAAGATTTCATCATAAACATATTCTCCTATTCTTTAAATCTCGTAATATGATGATTACAAATAAATTCGTTGTGATTCTCAAATACTTCTTTTATCATCATAACGTTTCCTTTTTATTTTTTTTTAAATAATGGATTGAGCGGAATATTTTTGTTCTAAAGGGCTTGTAAAAATGAACTCGAGGAGCTTATATATAAATATATAAATGGCATGCAAAAAGCATCACAATCGTGTAAGGAATATATATCTTTCGTTTCAAAATTTAAGAAGCTGGATTGTACAAAAATTGGAAACTAAGAATTAGGTTAGAAGAGAGTGAGTAAAGCTACGTAATAGTTGTGTGAAGCGTGAAGAATGGAAAGAAAATAGTAATATGGATCAAAGTCCCTTGTAGAGTTCAAAATACTTGGTGGGAGCCCCAGGTGGGGATGAAGAGTGATTATTTAGATTCTTATGAGTGACACGCCACACCTTCAAGACACCATCAAGGCTACCAGTGCAAATGGTGCAACTATCTTCATTATCTTCGACCAATCTACCTCCTATGAATGCTGTCACACACCTAATTGGTCCTCTGTGACCGACCAGAACTGCAAGACACGTGTGTTGCCCATCCTGTTCTCTGCCCCAGACCCTGCTTGTTGAGTCAGCTGACCCACTAACCACATATTTAGCCACACTAGCTAGACACATCACTGCATGTGTGTGCCCTTGGATTGACCCTCCATATTGTAACTGCCCTGCAAACCAACCTTTTAGCCAGTAGTGTATGTACCCATCAGTGCATCCACCATACAATATTCCAGCATCTGGGGTTAGTGTTAGGGCCTTCACGGGTGAGTACTTGGCGTGCAGGGTTACTGTCAGAGAATGAGGCTGGTCGTGGCTGCAAAAGTTTCTACGCCAAACTCTCACTGTGGCATCATCTGAGGCTGTGTACAAGACCCCATCATCAGCCACAATCATGGCGTTTATTGGCTCAGGGTGGGCCTTTATGGTCTCTATGCACTTAAGGTCTGAGATTCGCCACACTTTCACCGTTTTGTCCAGGGAAGCAGTGTATAGAATGTCCTCTGCTGTGTTGATTGCCATTGATGTGATTATCCCCTTGTGTATCTGTTAAGTCATGTCAAACAATCAAGTCAGGAAACAGTTTCATGGACTACACACTTACACAGAAAAAATATAGAGAGAAAAAATAAAAGAGAAAATGATAGGTTATAGAAGATATAACGTGAAAAGAAAAGAAAAATAAAAAGAAAGAAAGTGTCTGATAGATATATATTAAGCTGAGGTGTAAGGATGCACAACATCTAGGAGTGAAATAAAGATCTAAGTAGTTTGATATGCATAATAGAAATATATTGTTGTCCTTTCTCTTTGCATTCCCACTTTGTAGTTTTATTTTCCGTGATGGAAAACTCACCATACAGAAGAATTATGACACTTCAATTAACTGTTTGGGCTCTCAATTTGAACAGTATCAACAAGCAATTGGTTTATCATTTCTGATAACTAGCCAGCAGGAAAAGATTATCATAAGAAATTCTTAAGTGTTATTTACGTGGTTCACGGTTGTCAATACTTTTGTTATTACAGCTGAGGAGTCACAGTTGCTCTAAGATAAGGCCATATTTGAACAACATTTTTAATGTAATAGCAGAGACGGTTCATGACATGTTGTAGCTAGGATAGAGTCAGAAGCACGTGGACACTTACAACACTGACAAACGCAGAAGATACTTACTGTCTTGTCTTTGCCGGCGATGTAGCTGCGGACATAGCCGAGCGTCTTAGGGATGGTAGCCAATCGAACATGCTTCAGCACCTTATCCCAAGTTCTTCTCCACACCCTTATCTTGCCATCACCGTAGGCTGCATAGACCGTGTCATGGGACACTTCGAGAGCCACCACCCTGCAAGCCTTGGTCCTGAGTTGCCCACATTCGGTGAACTCAGGGAGCTTCCACACCCTAACAAGGTTGGAGTCAGAGCCCGTGTAGACCAAGCCGTTTGAGGAGAAGGCAATGGAGAGAATCTGGCCATCGTTTCTGAGGACAGAAGAGGCACAGTGGTAAGTGGTTTGAGGGTCTGAATCAGAGAGTTTAGTGGGTGAAGGAGGAGAGGGTGGGGGAGAGAAGTTATGTCGATGAAGAGGGGAGGAAATAGGAGAGTTTTGGAGGCTGCGAGAAAGAGTGGGGCAAGAGAGGCGTGGTGGGGAGTGAAGAAAGTTTGAGAAAGGTGTTTCTTTAGAAGAATGGCTTCTCAAGAAACTGCTCTGAGGAGTTGTGGTTGACGTTGTGGTTGTAGTTGTGGATCTAAAAGCAAAGGATGCTGTGGGATGGGGTGAGTTGGAGTCGTCCATTGATCGACAAGGTAGATGATCATTGATCTTATCTTCCTCACAGCCAAAAGAAAGATGAGTGGTGACTTGGTGGTTATGAGATGTGAATGAAGTTGGTGTGGTGTGAAGGGTGATGGGGTTATGGATTGGAGGGTGGTAGATGTTGGCTATAACTTCGTTTATTGCAATGGTTGAAAATGAACAGTATATATATAGTGTACGTTTACGCATTAAAGAAATGAGGAGCACTGGTACATTGGCAGACCATGGACATATACTTTGTTAGATGCCGCATTAGTTGCTGATTTACTCCACCTCTCTCACCAATTTTCATGGAGATCTCTAAATTGTGTTTTTCTTTCTTCTTTGCTTAAGTCATAATTGTTCAATTTGGAATTTTAATTACATGAATGCAGTTTTTTCCTATATTAGTAATAGTCTTAGTCTGTTTATCCATCTTTTGATAAATAACAATTACAAAGAACAAAAATCCAATTCATTCATTATGCAACCCATAAAGACAAACAAATCAGATGTAACTACACCGATTTGTTTCGAGACATTTGGTAAAATATTTAAAGCATGATAAAAAAAAGTATAATTGAATCCATTTGTTTGGACATATCGGTGTGGCAGAGTTGACGTGAACCTTTTGGTACAGGAAAACATGATAGCAAAAAACTGGAAAGTCTTTTAAGATTATAACATGTGAGGAACAGTGGTGGAAAGTGGCGATGAGTGTTCACAACAAGATTCTTTTCTTTTGTTGAAATTTTAGATTTAAGCATGTGAATATCATAAATGAAAGGTTTGGTTTAGGAGGGTAGGAGAGATGATGAATTGCATAAAGTGGGTCATTTGAGGGAAATGAGAATTTCAAAGGAATTAAGTGGGGAAGACTAATGGTTTTTCTAAAATGAGATAATGGTATATGGAATGGGTCTCAGCTTTTGAGTGACCTCACCACCTATATGGCATTAATTGGAAGTTCTATTTCAGGAATTCCTTAAAGTTCCGATCTTAAAATGGCTCACCAAACTGTCTGGAATTTGACATCATAATTTTCACTTTAATTTGGTTAGGCAATTGCTGAGGAAGAATACATAAATGCGTAGAAACACAAATAAATGGCAGTGGTTGCAAAGGTCGATACATTCAAGAAAATTCGAAACCCGCTGGCTTTTACATGAAAATTCACCCACTGCTACTGCTATCAAATTCACTGCAACACAGTATTTATCATCATTAGCATGGAACTTGAACCAGTTAATTAGAGGCGCGCATTGATCATGAAAATTATTTTCATTTTCTCTGTTGTACTCTTTTTTGCTCTCACTCCTAGCTTTTTTGTTGTAAGTTTGAAAACGAAAGTATTACTAAGGTGTGATTCTTGCATTAATTGGTTCCAAATATGTTAGACCAAAGATTAAAAGTTTATTTAAAAAAAAAAAACTTTATAAATTTAGATAGACATTTTTAATAGTGATTTACTATTGATTACTGAATCATGACTTGTCATTTGATACTCCAGGATTTTTGTTCCAAGACAAGTAGGACGGATCCCCGAGAGGCCTGCAATTAACATCACAAGATTAAGTTTGAAATTACAAGTTTATGTGGTATAATTGGAAACTGCAAGTGCAAAGCCATGATCTTTGCCCATAACTAAATAATGGTAGATCCATATAAACTAAATAACTAATGGGAGCGAGCATATGATATGATATGATAATACCTTGGCTTGATGACATAGAGAAGTATGAATACTACAGTACAGAACAAGGATAGGCTACCAAAGAAAAGAAATGCCGACCCCACGAAGGGATTTTTTCCTCCCATCAAAGATGTGGTTGAGAGAACCAGCTTCTTCGTTCCTCCAAACATGTAAGTGTTATAATTGTTTTCTATTACTATTTCTATCTCATCTTTCACTTCAAGGTCAACCTCTATCTTCCCATATAGTTTTCTGAAGGTGGGTAGTGCTGCTGTTCGCATCCAAACAATTAAATCTTCTTGCTCTTTCAACTGGTGCATGCATGCCATAACATTACACACAGGTAGCAATAATTAAAATCAAGGTAACAATAATTAAAAGGAAGAAATGTATGTGCTTACGGGTAGACTCGCAGTGAGGTTTCCACCCCCAATCAAATCTCTGTGCTGAAAATTTTTTGGATAAACTTCAGAGCCAAATCTGGACCTTCGGTCACTCCCCCATGCAATGTCTTTTCTGTTGACCGTCAAGTTCTTGTTGCTGGATACAAATTTGTATGTGTCATTGAACAGGCTCCATGCAATGAGGCCGCAGGGAACAATTGTCTGATTTTCTCCTATCTTGTCTTCAGGATAACAATTCGTTGTTTCCCCATCATCTGCCTTACTCCACAGTTGCTGGTCGTTTCTACTCTTCACATATCTTCAACAATCACCCAAAACCATGTCACCATACAGAATATGCCTTTCAACACTTTCATTGCAATGGAAATGAACTAAACAGAAGTGTAAAGGAGGAAGGGTTAACAGCACTCTCTCTTCTATTAATTAAATTTAGTAAAAACTATAAGATTTTGTGAGTCTCATGTTTTATTTAATGAAATCCTCTTTCTGTTTTGTAAATTTTTTTTAACAAAATTAATCAATAAAGAACATTTTGTTAATAATTCTTCATGCAAAGAGTTCTTGCTAATTTGAACACTATCACTGAATGAAGATAATTATACATACGAGATTGTAGCTGTTTCAATAATGCCAAAATAAGGCCCTATATATAATTTTATACAGAAATAAGAAGATTTTTCTGCAAAATGTGTACATACATACCTGCGATGGTTCTGATAGTAATTATCGAGCTGATAATAGATATAAATAGGAGCTTCCATTCTATGCTCAACCTGTAAATTTGCAACAAAACTGTTTTCAATCGAGTGTCAAAAAAGGGAAGGAAAAGAAAAAAACTCTCTGGTACCAAATAGAGATAGAGAAATTTGTTTTACAAAAATGAACATGTCTTATTACAGTGGAAGTGTACTAACAGTCCATTTGGTGATGCAGGTCTTGTTGGTGGTCTCGTTTTGAATATATGCCACTGCATTTTCGGCGAATGAAGAAGGAAGGCAACTCTCATCATATTGGATTACAGCTTCCTCCACCTGCATGCATCAGTATTTCTTCATACATCAATGAAACATTCAGCTTCAGCACCAAATCCATTTCACACTATATAAGTATGTTATATGTGTACGAAATGTTACACTCTCTGATGAGAAATAAGTAGCAAGACCAATAGGGATGAAGATGACTCCGACGACACAAAATGTGGCAATAAACTGAGGAAACAAAGATAAAATCACCGATCAATTGTTAGAAGAACATTTGCAAAACCAAATGAGACGAGTTTGTGTTGAACGCTATACCCATCCCGGTGTTAGAATTGGTTGCAATGCAGGAAGTTCTTGCTGTGAGAATTCTGTATCTACAGAAAAAAAAAAAAAATATATATATATATATATATATATATATATATATATATATATATATATATATATATAAATTGAGCAATAATGAACGCAAACCCAACTTTTTACATGAAATTGCCTAATAAAGTCCTCCAGATTTTGGTGCAAACTTAGCAATTGAGCAATTGGCCTTAGAAACAATCAAACAGAGCATTGAAAAATATTTTATTTCAATTCCAAACAAATCATCATAAGTTTAAATAGAGAGACAAATGGTTAATGTGTTTCTCATTGAGTGTACTATTGTTTCAATCCGCCAACTAAATTTACATAGACTTAGTTAAAACACAAAATATAAACAAATTAAATATGACATTTATATATATATGCATCCAAAAGCAAGTGAAGAACATACATATGGGTTTCTTGGAAACTTTCATAGAAGTGGGAGCGTCGTTTTCATCGGGCATATCCATGGTTGTTGAGACGGAATAAACAGGGGATGGAAAAGAAAGTTACAGTGAGACAGAAAGAATGAGATTAAGGTTAAGGTTTGAAGAGAATGCAGTTGTAAACGTGGGTGGACCACAGAATGAGATTAACGTTGTTGAATTGGACCATTTCACCAGCGCAACTACCGTTCGCCCCTCCTTATTCGTCTTCTCAAAATCACAACATGCTGTATATATATATATCTTACATGTCTCCTTAAATATGAATAAATACCACCCACATTTTATATTATATAATTATTCAATTATAAACCGCCAATGGTAGAAAATTTTTATTTTTTTTTATTGTAATAAATTTGAAAATCATACCAAAAAATTTTACTCTCACAATTTACACCTGTTTATCTCTCTTCCAGTTATTCCAATTCTCTTTCATTTTTATCCATTAGTATGAATAAAATCAGTAAATTTTACTTTTATCTTTTATTTTCTCTTGTTTTATATATCATTCCTTCAATTCTCAATTTTTTTATAATTTTTTTTTACTGATAATAGAAGGGAATAAAAGGAAACATCTATTTTATAAATATATATATATATATATATATATATATATATATATATATTTTCATGTTTTATCTGTTTACTATTACTAGAAATTACTTTACAATTTTTTTCTACTGCTTTTATCTTTTTACCCTTTTTGTTACCATTTTGACGTTATAATAAATAAAGTATATAGAATAGTAGAGGGAAAAAAGAATAAAATAATTTAAAAAGAAAATTATTTATACATGTGAAGAAAGAGAAAAAGAAATGTTAAATTAGTAAAAAAGAGTGTGAAACATGTATAAAAATAAAAAATAAAATATTTAAAAAATTAAAAATATAAAAAATGTAGACATATTAGCACTAATTCTTTATGTTTCCACTAATATAAATAAATAAAAGAATTTCTTGTAACAGATTTTGAATGTGCTAAAAAGGAAAAAAGAAACATAATTTATATTTATATTATATTTTTTCTTTTATTTTTAATCATATGTTTTCAATTTTTTAATATTAAATAATAACTAAAAAAATATTTCTTTATTATTCTCTTTATTTTATTTTGGTTTTTGAACTATGTTCTATGACTATTTAACTTTAATAATTCATAATTTTATAAATAAATATTTATATTTTAAAATTAATATATATGTTAAATTTTAATAAATTAAAATAAAAAATATGATAAAAATACGACATAAAGACATGGTTATGTCTATGTTTCCCTAGTTAAAAAGTAAATAAGCTTTCTAATGAGAGTTATTCATAATTAAATTTGAATTCTAGTAAGATTGAATAGATAAAGCACCAAGTACTTTATTATTTCTAAATAATAAAGTACATATCTCTATTGAATATACAGTTTACATGTATTTTTGTCTTATACATTTAATACCTACAAATTATATTTAAATTAAACTAATCAACACATATATTCCACATTTGCCAATTAGCAATGTATTATATGGAGGTATTACATTATTTTCGTACTCAATTTGTTTTTTTCAAGTGAGTTAATATAACCTTCTGCGAATGTATTTAAATTATTTAACCATGATACGATGTGTATATCATCGTGTTACATAACATAATATTAACAGAAATAAATATTTGTACATGTTTTATCTGTTTACAATTTCTAAAAAATACTCTACAGTGTTTCTCTTTTACTGTTTGTATCTTTTACTAATTTAAAAAGTAATTCACAATTATTAAAAAATAATGAATAATTTTACGGAATAAAAATATTAATCTTAAGAAATCAATAGATAAGACACGGAGTACTCCTTTTACTAATAATATAATAATGAATGATATATCTCTATTCAATCTATAATATTTTTGTAGTTCTTTAACCTTCATTCCGTATTAGATACTTTTCTCTCTGTAATTTTCAATGTACAAAATAATATGGGAGGAATTTTTTTACAATAAGAATTTAATTAATTAAAAACCGTTTTTTATTTGAAAAAATCATATTAAATAAACTTTAAATTTTCCAAAAGGTTGAGTTTTGATTTTTTTTTTCCTGTTCATTTTTGAAAGAGGGTAATTTATTTATTTATTTAGGTTTCTGATTCTTAAGAACCAATACTCTTATTGAGTTAGAACCATAAGGACTTACTTATTAAAGGTATAAACAAAAAAGAAGTCTGTAACAATAAATAAATATATAAACTAAAGAAATTAAAATCCAATTAAAGAAAACATTAAACACAATAAATTACCCAAACCTAATAAAAATAATAACTAATACTTCATACTCTGATTCGTGTTATCTTTCATAAAAAATATTGATTCCATAAAATCATTGATACTATTACACAAATTCAATATACAATATTTTCATATGGTAATTTCATTAAATACAATGCTAAATGAACATCATCAGATAGTTTTGTTTTTGGCATTAAGACCGTACTCCCTAAAAAAATGAAGTTGGGGAGACTGCATAACGACAAATGGTACCATATTGTACGGCCTGCCATATAGGTATAATCTTAATTTTAAAAATTAAGAATAATAATACAATGAATGGGGTCATTTTGTCAAGAAGCTGAACTCACAGCTTCAACTATATCATCTGACTCGTCAACCATCATTTCATCTCTGAAAAGCAATTTCAAATATGGAAGAACTTTAGGAAGCACGGACAAATCAGCTACATTGATACTCATCATATCAAATGCAATACATGTTTTATGCATGTGTGCTTCATCGAACACAGGAATTTTGGGATATCTTTGACTGAAATGAGTCAATATGGTTCGATATACATTAGCAGATTGTCCCATTTCTATGGCTTCGTTTGTGGTGCTGTGATTCTTTGCTATAGCCTCATCTACCATAGCATCCTCAAAAGTTGCCTGCATCAATTATATGTCACAAGTAAACAGGTCAGCCTCACTAGTGGTGGCATTAAGAAACGAACAATGCACTCAAGAGTTTTATTTAGTTCGCATAGACAATGTTGAAGAAAATACATTAATGTTGAAGATAATATATATGATTGGGCTTAAAGAATTCATTGCGGAAGGAATTGAAGTAAGAATATCAGAAATAAGACTATCCTTTTCATATATAGAAGATCAAAGAATCAAGTAATTTCTCGGTCAAAAAGAATAATTATAGAAAGGCGGTTAGTTTGGCCTAAGATTTACCATTGCTCCAAAAACTTCTAGAACCGTAACTTGTTTATCATTGTTGGATCTGAAATAGGACTAGGATTGCTAAAGTTTGAAATCGACTACAACCACCTCATCTTTAACAAGGGAATAGTAGAATACTCAGCATACTGCTGCAGTAGTAGCCTATACACAATATCAAAATCCTATACTGATCTCACTCCTCATACTTTTAAGATATTTCAAGCCAATACTAAATTATCATTAAAAGCTCAAACAAGATTAAGTAATTACTTACCTCATGTATAAGAACTGTTGCACCACGAGATGCTTCTATTAGCTCTGGGCAGGGCCTTGTGTCACCAGAATACACAATCTTCCAGCCAGGTATCACTTTTCCGAAACTATTTGTCCTCTCTTCTGCTTTTAAAACTACACCAAATGCCTGTGGGCAATGTACAACGGGGAAACTAATCAAGGCCTTCAGACCAGATTCCTGGATTACCTCCTTAAATTTCTTTAGGATAGGAGAAACTACATCTTTGTCAACAGGACTACCTGGTCTTCTAAAACAGCTTTGCATTCGAGATCCTCTAGCAAACATAGTTGAATCAACTTTTGATGCAATTAAGTCCCCACTATTGTTGTTCAGAGTCTGAGAATTAACTGAATTTCCTTGGAAATCATCCTCAAAAGCATCCAATGAAGCTGCTGTGGTGTGCTTGCAGTCAAGAAACAGCATATCTAAATCTTCAAGTCTTTGGTATGCATCTAAATATCTCTTAAGCTGCCTTGGTCCTACAACGAGTACTGGTTCATGAGGCACCCCCCTCAGCAAATCACGGCGCAGGGTAAGAATCCTGGCCAAGCCTGCATGGTGATCAGCATGAATATGTGAAATCCAAATGCACCTTAAAGTTCCCACAGCATCATCAGCACCAGTAACACCATATCTGTTTCCAAGGGATACATCAACCAATAGTTCATATTAAAAAATGAATGAATGTTGAAGATATGGATATACTTGCCTTCTTTTAAGTTGTCCCAAGGTTCCTTCACCACAATCCAAGAGCAAACCTCCTTTGGAGAAAAGATTTATATAAATTGAGCTCACATTTCGGTATTTTGATGGCTGAGATGAACCAGTTCCAAGAAGAACTATCTCCAAGTCATCTCTCCTTATATTTTGCAGACAAGCAGGAATACCATTTGCACATAGCCATGGTTCCTCAATCATCATCTTATGATCCACCACAGGAGTTACGGTATCCTTTGTCTGACTACATTCTTGCCAGAGCTGACTTACATGATTAACTGCTTCTGAAACCTCTGGAATCTCTGACAGTAAATCATCAATGATTTCTGAGGAAGCGACCTTAGTAGGAATACAAGATCTATCCAACCCAAGATGAGCATAAGGACGCAAAGTAAACTGTAAAGAAGGGAGTGGTATATCTATCAATATGTAAATTTGGCAAAAGGAAGAGTGGTAATAACCTGACCACTGAGAAATGTATCTTGGGGGATAATTGGAGCAGCACTATCAAGGAAAAGATGATAAAAACTCTCCTAAGGTGATTTGGTCATGTCAGAAGATTAAGAGAAGCTCCAGTGAAAAAAGTAGGTCAAATTTAAGATAACAATTAAAAAGGACAGATGAGAGACTAAGTAAAGAACACGCTCTATGATTCCACAGAAAAGATTGGGATCTTAAAAACTTGCTTCAATACATTTATTATAAAATTTCGTGATAAAACCTCCATGATGAGCTACTCTCTCCAAAGACTTGACAAGAAGAATGTCATTCTTATGTTCTTTCTAAGTGATGCGCGTCCAAAAAAAAAATTGAAATTTCAAAAACAAAATGTTGGACCACCAGAAATGTTTATTTAAGCCTGTACGTTATCAGTAATTTAGCTATAAGGAGCCCAATAACAGCATGCATTATCACAACTAGACTTCTATGAGAACAAATAAGTTAAAGGCCAGGCAGCCAGGCACATCAAATCTTTCATACCTTAAGAAGATTTTCAGAAGAAATGACTTCAGAAGGTTGTGATAAAGAACACTGCAAAGGAATCAAATCAAACAATGAAATTAGACTTGTTTATGTCTTAATTACCTTAGTATAGTAAAACAATTTTTCAAATTCTATCATGAGACAAACCTCACTTAAAGCAAGAGAACCAAATTCTGAGCTATGATTAGGAACGGACCAAAATCCTGGAGCTGGAAAGAACTGAGGACACAAGTAATTCAGTCGTGTTGCGATTCTTGCACTAGCTTTCAAAATAGGAATCTCTACATTCTTCCTGAAAACAGAGCATGCGTAACCAGGTGTAATCACTGATAATGCAGGTAGGAAAACCAGAAAAGAGACTCTCCAGAAATACAAACATCTCACTTTTCATGTCCAGCCATGATATGTTGAGCAGAACTGAATTTATTCATCCATTTTTGGTAATTTGAACAACTCACAACAGATGCCGGAGTTAGGTGAATTACACAAGTGACACTCTTACTAGCCTCTGCGTGGTTGTCTGTTTGATCACAATAACTAGCAAGTGATTGTTCAGACAATAATGCTTCCAAATGGGATTTTGTTGGGCAATCGACAAGGAGTACAATGGGACCAGGAACAGAAGGTCCCAAGACATCACTTGGATGAACCTATTGTAGGTTGAAGCAGAAAAGCAGTTACTTTACAATGTATAGAAGCCCAACATCAAATTAAAATAAACTAAAGCATTGTGTTATTGAGATTGAATTTATATGTCTCAATTCCACTTCTTTTTCTAAATTTGCTTCTACTCTGCTTTAGGTACATAATGTTGAGTTTTAAGACTAACCATGATATTCTGGTGATCAGATTTCACTGAGTTTCCAAGTTGCAGTTCCCGATACTTGGGCCCAGGTTTAAGACCAAGGGCCTTAGCTTTCTCTGGATCAAATTTTCCCTTGATTTCAGGCAGCTCACAAACATAAACTACAGACATATCACCAGGTTTTGCAGCAGGTAGTTTTCTGCCATTGGAGGAATTAAGGGTATCTGGACTATGGTCCATCCTCTTCTGTGAAGAGCTTTCCGAAGTTGTCAGAACCTGACCTTCAATGCAATTTGGTTGTAGGACAATGGCTGATATTTTGACCACCTCATCATTAATCAGAACAATGGGGTCCAAAAGCTTGCTTTGACGTGGCACAGTGGGTCCATCGGTGTTGGGCCCAAAGCTCTTTGTGTGAACCATGGCAGCACTGGGAATAAAAGATCTCATGGCATCTATTAAATACTTAAGGTCTGAAGGGCCCCATATGTTAAGCTACAAATTAAAAGAAACTATTGATTATATAATAAATATATATGAAGAAAATGGAAGATCATATGAAGCTAAATGCTACTTACGGACATCCCTTCTTCTCCCATGCCTGCCAAAGTAAGCAGTAAACCTGTGAATTGAAAAATTATGAGTATTTCAAGAACCCTTCTAGATGAATCACCAATCTAACCAGTAAAGAAGAAACCATTTACACGTCAGAGAAATTACTACATCATTAAAGAAAAAATAAAAATAAAAAACCGACACGTTCTGCAATATATAGCACGGATCATGACTAAAACCGTAAGTTTATTAACAGTCCAATACAGACCTGGAAGGCCACCGGCAGTCTCAGAACAGACGCGGGAAAGAAATATGTGATCTATCTGAAGAAAGATGAACAATAGTAAGGGAACGATCAAACTATCTTCATCTTTTGATGAGTGATACTAGGAAATTCAAATTAGGGGAGAGAAGGGTGGTTCAAGCTAAATATATATGATACCTTTGATAACTTAATCTTATGCTCTGTGCAAAACCTTTGCAATCCCTGAATTGAATATGAAATATAAAACTTAAGCCTCCACAGAGAGATAGGAAAGCAGATATAATACGAGGAGAATATCCGAATGCAATTGAAACTCCTGAAGAGAGAGAAGTTGAGAATTTAGAGTTACCTCCCCAGCATTGAATATAAATCTTTGATTATCGAAGAAAAGCAGGACTGAAGGAGACGTATCCTGAGTATCCATTCCAGTTCCCAAAATCTGTGATTCAAAGAAGAAGAAAACAATTTGCAATAAGCCGAAATAAAAAAAAATAAAAAAACGAATGGAAATTGAGAGATGAAGTAAATACCTGAACATATGAGATGGTATTGATTGGGTTAAGCTTGCGAACTTTGAGTTGGAGGTTCTTCCTGGAGGCGTCATTGGCGTCTCTGCCTTCGGCCCGTCTCTTGTTGAAGTTGGAATCCTTCACTTCCATTGGTATGCTACGGTGTCGTTTGGAGGAGGAGGAGGAGGAGGCGAGAACGGTTAGAAGAGAACGGAAACGGAGGTTGAAGGGTTTGGAGAGAGAAAGGGAAGAAGAAGAAGTAGAAGAAGCCTGACGGGGGAGAAGAAGGAGGTGACGAAACTTAGAAAGTTGGGCCATCTAGAAAGCCCTTTATCCGAAGAGGGTTTTAGGCTTAGCCGTTATAAAACCCCCCAACACGACCTCACTTTGCTTTATGATGGTATATCAATATCAGTTTTTTTTTTTATCTTATAAAATAAAATAAAGATTTATGATGATATATTATTTTTAAATAATTTTTTGATAATTTTATTTTATTATAATTTTTTTAATAAATTCATTCTTTATTTATTTATTTTAATTTATTTATTTTTATAAATTATTCAATAAAAATAATTATAAAAAAATTTAAATAATCATTATATCATATATAACTTCTGTAAAAATTTCTTAAAGCAATTAATACTTTAAGCATCGCTATAAACCATCATTCATTAGATTAATAATGTTACAATTTTAACATTTTCTAATTTCTTTTTATAATTTACCCATGTTTTAAACTTTTGATATCAATATAATTATTGTTACCTTTATGTTGTATATAATTCTTTTAGGTTAACAAAATTACAATTCTAATTTGTTTTAATATTGAAACATATTATTTTTTTTAAAAATAGTTTATTTTTTTATGTTGATTTAATAATTATAATCCATATAATATAAATAATCTCTTTATATTAGAAAACTTATAATTCTAACTTTTCTTAATATGTGATATACATAATTTTTTAAAATATATTTTAATCATTATATATCGATATAATAATAATTCTTTAAAACAATTCACAAAAATTCTAAAACAACAGTCTCAAACAATTTAATTTTATTTTCATAATAATTGTTTTTCAACAAAATTTAAGAATGATAGATATGACTAAAATTGTTTTTTATTATATGCAACGTATTAATATTTAATTTTTATTATTAAATTTTAATTGTCGAAACCAATAAATATTTTTTTTATAAATTTCACTTATTATTTCATACTTTCAATAAAGTATTTATAATATTTTTTGAAATTTTAAATTAAAAAAATGTTTTCTAATAAAAAGTTTATTTGAATTTTTTAAAACTATAATACTTTTTAAAATTCAAATCAATAAATTTCATAAAATAAAGCCTTTAAACAATTTTAGAGTTGAAATTTTTTTAAAAATATTTACAACTATTTTAAAAATAATTGTAGTTTTATCTGAATAAGATGTATATAATCAGACTTTTTTTTGAGAAAATTTATATAAAAATTAAATCTTAAAATGTTGTAATATGTTAAGAAATATGAAAAGTAACATAATAAATAATTAAATTATAACATATCACATGAGACAAGCTATTCTAAGGTTGTACAACAGATTAGTTTCTATGTTATATGTTTTTCCATTCTATTTAAAATGTCTAACTCAACATCTATCCAAATAAATTTCTTATTCAATCCACAAGCTCAACTCAACCTCAACCATTGTTTGGCCTTACCTTATCCTTTATTAGTTCATTTTTGTTTCACACTACTATATACATGTTTGTTCCATTGCTATTCTAACTATGCAAACACTATCAGATAAGATCATCACAAAAACAACCACAAACGACAAGCCCCATTCATTCTACTACGCTCAAATTCCCTGCAACCAAAATATCACTTAACAAAAAGCTTTCAAAATATCACAATGTCACTCCTCCAACTCCAACTCACTTCTCATGCATTGCGTCCCTCTTCCCACTACTTCAGACCCAACAACAGACCTCTTTATCCCGCTAAGCGTGTCACCTTTGTAAGAACCAAAATCAGAGCTGTTAGCACAGTCCCTGAGAGGGAATCTGAATCAGAATCAGACACCACTGACCCCAACGAGCCACCTTATGTTGGCTTTGTATTTGTTAGTGTAAGATGATAATGATGATGCTACATGTAGTGCAATCCCCAGCAAGTTACATTGGTTTTAAATTTTTGTTTTTTAAATTAATCTCACTAATGATTTTTTTTTGTCTCTTCTGGGTTGGTTTGGTTAGTCTGTGCTGCTGCCAGATGGAACACCAGATATACACTTTCGTTCTACTTGTGGCGGCCAGAAGCTAAGGAAAATAATGATGGATACCAACATTGAGCTCTATGGACCCTATGTAATAGCCTCAGCAACTTCAAACAAAACAGCTTCTTTTAATAAATAGTTTCATTTCATGCTAACAACTTTGCTCTTTGCTGGCTCATAAAAACAAACCTTGTTTGGTCTCTGTAACATTGTGGGACTCAGTTTGTTTATATGCTTTTGTTAATTTGTTACTTTTTTCCAGGCCAGAGCTCTGTTAAATTGTGCAGGGGGTGGAACTTGTGGCACTTGTTTGGTGGAGGTGAGCTAATTAATATTAATAATGATAAACTTTTAAGCAGTGTTTCAAAGGGTCATCCTTTTAAAGTCCTCTATTTTCATGTTTGGTATGAGTAGTTTAAGAAAACTTTTTTCTAAAACTGTTTTCTAACTAAATTTTCTAACAGAATATTCATTGAAAAGATTAGAATCCAAAATTACTATAGAGATGAAAAAGTTTGTCACGCTCATGATTCTATATTAAACATATCAAACATTCATAACATTCCATTGAGAAATATAATTTCTAACAATGGTAATATAGTTAGAAGATGATCAAATAATGTAGACTACTAATTCTGTTCTGCACTTGTTGTTAGGTTCTTGAAGGTCATGAGCTTCTAAGCCCTCGCACTGATAAAGAGAAAAAATTACTAAAGAAGGTAGAAGATAGTGGAATTATGATTCAAAGTTTTCTTTTTGGCATTTTTAACTATGAACCATGTTTGTGACTAAGAAGAGAATTACGGTTTTGTTATGTGGGTTTGTTCCATTTTCCAGAAACCAAAGAATTGGAGATTAGCATGTCAAACAGTTGTTGGTGAAGCAGATTCCAGAGGGGGGGTTCGTGATTCTTCTTCACCCTTGAACTTTAAACTTGTCGATGCAATCAAAATTTCTTTTTTATATGTAACACATTCGGTTTTGATTTGATGCAGCTTGTGATTCAACAACTGCCAGAGTGGAAAGGGCACGAATGGAGTTATGCAAAGCCTGGAGAGCCCAGCTGGGATTCGGAGGAGCCTCTGTGAAGCCCAAAACCAAACAATACTATAAAGGCTGTTGCTTTCTGCACCACCATATCACCCACTTGTTATTTTTTTGAGTAAATTAGTTTTTTGTTCTTTTTACAGAAAATGACATGAAAATTACAACTAAAGATTTTGTGTAGAGTACCTATACTCTTTCATCATTGGACGGATCTTAATGAATTTTTAGTAAATGAAGTACCTATACTCCTTTATCTAGAACTTTTCTTTTTCAGATATTTATGTATAACTTAACTATTAATCAATTTATTCATAAAATATTAATGTGGCAAGAAAAAAATACTGCCCAATATGCTTCCCTGAAAAGTACATTTGTTCTGCATCATAAAAAGAAGTAGAGGCCTACTGCATATTGCAATTACAGCTTGGAGGAGTACAATGGTGGAACTCTTGAACACTTAACAGTAGTCCAACTTTTTGCAATCCCAGGACTCATGTGGCCCTCCCTCTCTGCAAAATGTTTTGACTCGTGTCACCCTATTCTTGTTCTTATTGCCTTGTCTTCTATCACTTGGATTCCTTCCATTCTAATCTTTTTCAGTTTAATAATTCACACCAACACCTGTCATGCACTACATCAAAACGTCCTCAAGGCACGTTTTTTCATGTCCATTCTATATTTGCACCACTAAGCAACACGTCATTTCGGTTCCCCTCTCCCATTTTCACCTTCCATTTCCTTACCTTTTATCCTGCAAGTACTATAATCATCTGGGTTTTCACTGTGATTTCACCCTACGTAATAAAAGCCTATAGACAAACCTTGCTATTGCACTTTTTGGTACTTTAGCCAACGACAAATTACACCCATTGATGATCATTAATAGTATACAATCAAACGTAACGTGTTTTTCTTTTCTATCTGCTTTATCATTGCATGCCCACTTTTACTGATGTTTATATATATCCTCCTGGTTTCAAATTAAAAATGAAGCTATAAATGAGATATATTTGTGTTTTAGGAAAAAGAAAAACTACATTAGCAATCTCATGAATTCTTACAAGAAAACAATGACTCCTACTTTACATCAAAAGCAAAAAGAAAAAGAAAAGGCTGAGATGAAAAGAAGGAAAAGCAAGAGTTACTTGCCCTTGCCCTCCTTTATTACATAGAAATGAACACAGTAGACTAACAAAGTGGATCGAATGAATCAAAAATCAGATGGAAGAGGAGCATGCTGGTGGGTGGGAATGAAGGCATAGGTATAGATAAGACCAGCCAAACCACCACCAAGAAGAGGGCCAACCCAGTAGATCCAGTTGTCATGAAAGTCACCACTGACAAGTGCAGGGCCAAAGGAGCGTGCAGGGTTCATGGACCCCCCCGAGAATGGTGCTGCAGCTAAGATGTTTGCACCAACGATGAAACCTATGGCAATGGGTGCAATTGTTCCCAGTGAACCCTTTTTGGGGTCTGCTGCTGTGGCATACACAGTGTACACTAAGCCGAATGTGATGATAATCTCAGTCACTACTCCTTCTCCGGCTCCAACTCCCGCAGCAACACCGTGGATAGGAATACTCTGACAACAGATAATACCTACTTAGTTTCTTTTTCCAACGACAACAATAATTAATTACAATTTTCTAGATATTTAACCATATTTATTAGACATTACTCTTAAATTTAAATGTTAAAATAAAATAATAACATTGAATAAAGTTGTGTTAATTACAATTTATTTACATATGAGCTTATCAAATGAGTTTATTTTTTTTATTAGTCAAGTTTCTTTATATTTAAGTAAGGAAAAAATTTTGTTTAATTTAACAAAAGAAACTGCACTTAAGTTTTTTCAGTAATTTTTCTTTACACACCAAGCATACTTCGTAAGAAATGGTGATCTAATATATCCTTGCATGTGTTATATGCTTAACCAACTGAACCAGATGGTACAATAAAGAATCATGAAGAAACTGCATTCAACAAAGCTTTACTGAATGTCCGTAACTAATATGATGAATAGCAAAAGGGAAGATGTGGCTCGGCTTATGCATGAATCACAATTTTTGCCATGTTTGTGACACAATTGCAATTATGTATGGATGGGTTGAGTTTGAACTTACATAGCCAGTGACAAACTTAAGGAGTAAGCAGGCCACTATGGAGCCAAGAAGCTGTGCAATCCAGTAGAAGAAACCAGTGAGGATGGTGATGTGACCCCCAAGAGCCAACCCAAAGGTCACAGCAGGGTTGACATGGCCACCAGAAATGTTGGCTCCAACAGAAATAGCAACAAAGAGAGCAAAACCATGGCAAATGGCAACAGCTACCAACCCAGTAGGATCAAGAGCTGCATCTGATGTCAACTTAGCTGCAAAAGAAATTATAAAACTCAGATTCGAGGTGAAATTAAGGAAATCTTTTTAGGATTAAGTGTTTGGTGTTCCAAAACTTCTGCACGTAATGTACATAATTCAAAACATTTTGTTTTAGGATTTATATCTTCTGCAATGACACATGTAATCGCGAAAAACAAAAAGTAAAAAGAGCTCTGTGCTAGTTGAATTAATGATAAAGAAGTTGCATTGCGAAGATAGAAGTGTGAGGTTATTAAATTGTCCACTAAAACAGAAAAACTAACCATAGGCTATGGCTGAACCAACACCAGCAAAAACAAAGAGAAGGGTTGAGATGAACTCAGCAATGTAGGCCTTGATGGAGGCCAAACTGAAAGAATCATCGAAGCGTCCGAATGCTATGCCAGCCATCTTCAGAAGTTTCTGTGTGAACCTCAAAGATGGAGAAGAGGAGATAAGATGATAAAGTGTTCGGAGTTGGTATAATATGGCACAAAAGGCTTTCGCTGAGAATCTATATAAATAGTAGAAATTGTCATGTACAGTATAAAGCTTATTAAATAACTTCACGACACCAAATCTATATTGGTCATGTTGTCCATCATTAGTTGTAGTAAAAAGAAAAACAACTTGATTAATCACTTTTATTAAAACTCTCTTCTTCTAAAAGTCTTTTTTTTTTATTTCTAAATTTGAACATGATACATTATTCAACAGATTCGAACTCAAGTCTACTTGATCTGAACTAATGATGGTGATGAGATTGTTTTGTTGGTATGGTTGATATTATTATAGATCAGGATAGAGACTCTCATTCAGTCTCTAAAAAGAAAGAAAAAGGAGAGTGAAAGTTAAATAGAAATAATTGAGATGTTGTTTAATTAGATATAGTAAAATTGTTTGAGGTATTAGAGGAGAAGATTACTATTATTGAAATACTTTTTAAGATAAAGTTATATCAGAAGTTAGAAAAATCTTTTGTATGTCATGATTATGATTGAGAGATGAAAAGGGAAAGTGGTGGATATGAATGGACATTGAATGAGGTAAATTTTTGTGGCAAGCTTAGCTGTCAGTGGCGTGAATCAAGATTCATTAGAAATGTCCAGAAGCTGATGAATGATTCCTTCATGTGGGTAGTGTGGAGGGAGGTGGTGTTTGGTGGGGTATACACCTACATGCAATGTGAAGCAAATAATCACAAAATAAAATCAAGTTAAGAGAAGTGGAGAACATGAATCAATTTTTTACCACAAACACCACCGTCCATGCTCTTAAAATCAGTGATTCAAAATGCCTTAAAATAAAGAAAGTTGTGGGTGTTAATATGTCACATAATGATCCATGATTATAAAAATCCCCTGTGTGTTTCATGCTCAAACTACTTTTTATAAATAGTTTGGTAGATTATGATTATGTCATATTAATCTAGATTCAAATAGTTGTCTCATTAATGGTTTTTATTTCTTTGTTTTAATTTAAAAAAAAAAAAAAACTTTTTCGTTCTTACAAGATGTCAATACTCTATGTATTATAAGTGAAAAAAAAAGTGCTTACCTAATTACAATTCATTATATAAAACAAGTAATTAATTTTTGTGATAATTACTTTAAAAATTAAAATTAGCATCAAATTAACAATATAAAATTACTTCAAAAATTATCACTTTTCAATGTTTAGTGTTACATTTTACGACTATCTTATCATTTTCCCTTAAAACATCATTGAACAGCAAACAAGTTGATTCTTTACAGTCGAACATGAACATGTAATGTCTAGTTAGTTAGCAATGGAAGCTCCGTTACCTTTTTGAAACACAGCTTCAAATTGGTCATTTCAAAGCTGCCGAAAAACAATTGGGTGAGGAACCCTTTTTCATATGCTGATTAATTTTCCAAAAAGAATCATTCATATCAGCTACAATAGCCGATCAAAGAACTTCTCTAACAGTAACCGAGCTACTTTACAGTTAATCATAGCTGGAAAACCCCACCTTGCCCTATTTTAATTTTTCTTATTTTATCAAAGAAAAACAATTAATGTGCATTTAGTGAACTCATTCTAGAGAAATAATGATCATCAGTGAAAAGAGAACTGAAAAGAGAGTTGGTTGAATGTCAAACAAAGAAAACCCTTGTATGTGTATCTGAGGTTTGGTTACAAAACAAAAAGGAATCCTTATCTGCCAACTGTTCATATAAGATAGTGCCATGCACGAAGCTACAAAATAAGCAACATGTTAGAATCGATAATTGATGAGTTTATAACATAGTCTTTATTAATAATTTTGTTATTCTTCAGAATGTGGATAGCCTAAGTTCAATCAAAGACCTCACAATTGAAGCAAACATATAATGACAAGCATGGAGTTCTCCCTCGCACTGCCATATTTCATTTTGCATGGAACATGATTCCTTGCTATTAAAAGACTAACAGTAGTTCATGTAGCAATCATCTAAGCCTACAGTTTCTTTTCATTTTATTGTGTAGCATATAGAAGTTAAAAATGTGTTTTTGTCTTTCACTTTTGAAACCTCGAAATTATGTTCATGTTCAATTAATTTAAATTATTATAGGATCGTTCGAAACATCTTTAGTGCTGTGTAATGAAGAAAAGAGTTTATTATTCTTTAGAGTTTAAGTCTTGTCCGTACTCTTAATATATAGAGCACTTTTAAGTAATGTTAAACGAAATTCAATTTTTTTGTGAAAACGAAACCATAAAATAGTAATTTAAGTAGTTATCAGATGAACTTGATAATTCTTAAATTCTCAAATATATTATATAAAAAGTATTGAATGAAAAGTAAATATATTTGATTATTTTACATTTTTATATATTAATTAATAATAGAGAATAATAGGAAATTTATATTGAATGATTTTATAATAGTCTAAAAAAATAGTCAACACTTCAATTTGTTGTTACGAGCTTCGTATACATAAATGTAGAGATCTTTCATGGGCTTTTACTACAACAATGATATATGAGCACTTCAATAATTTCACCTATAATTAATGGCTGATCCAAAATATAAATATTTTCACAATACAAGAACAAATCTATTAAACTCTGCTGTATAATTTTTTTTTGTTCTTTACTAATAGAATTTCTGCATATTTCAATACAAACATCACATTTTCATGTGAATAACCGCACCGAATTTTACTTATGAAGAAATTTTAAACATGAGTGAAACTTAATTGTTCCTAAAACAATAGGCAATGATAAACTAACGATTAGGAAGTCGAGGTCTACAAGAGCCCATATTAATTTTCAAGCAAACCACTAACACTGCAAATTGACGAAGCTACCACTCAATCCTTATTCCACAAAAAATATTGATGTAATAATTAACAAAACATCAATCATTCTACCAGCATATTTTCAGGAAAAGGAATTGAAGCACAACATTGATAGTATCCATTTTCATCGAAAGAAAATATCTGAGAAAGATGAGCTTCACGAATAAGATACTCCCCCCAGTCCTCTGATCCATATTGCTTGAATATGCCTCGTGCATCAAAAGGATAAAACTTTCTCGTCCGCTTATTCCTGAACACAAGCAGCTTATATCAGCTTAGAGAAAAATCACCAAAACTTTTACAAAGGAAGATTGTTGAGCTGAAAAAATTAAGGGGGAACTAGCACCTTTTCCTATGCCTTGCGTTCATCACAGTGGCGTGTAGCTGCAAAACAGGAGAAAAATTTAAATGATCACTGAAAACTATCAAAATTCCAAACAATAGCGTGATTATATGACGTGATTTGGTGTTAAGGTTTCTTAGCAGGGGCTAGAAAAAGGTATATTTCTTTACTTTTTTCTTCCCATTGAAGCAGTACTTCCAAACTTTTATAATTTAATACTGGAAAGATTATCATTCTGCTAAAAAAAAAAAATCACAAATAGCATTCGGTACAAGGGGAATTTGTCCCTTATATACAAATGCTATGATGATATATGCCGAAACATGAGCTAACACTACATTAACAAAAATCTGAATCATTCTGAGATGTGAAAATAAAATATATTAAAACAGACATATAATAACAGCAGATTAGTACAGTAAAAATTACCTTTAATAAAGTAATTTCATTACAGGTAGGTTAAAACAAATACATCTGTATAATTTATCCCAAAGCAACAGATACGAATCTGATAAATTTAGTTTACCTTCAGTGTTTTTTTAGCATCCCTCTCTAAGACGAGTCCAGCTTCAACATATGCATCAATAATGGCTTCTAAAAAAGCTTAGAAAACTCAAACAATTCTTTGAGAGCAATATATAATCAAAATCAGGAACCAAACACTGATCCATAATTATTTCAAAATTATAAAACTAAAAACAAATCCTTAATTAAACTCTACCCCCCTTCCTAAAGAAAACAATAAAAAAAAATAATCCACATATGGATACGACAAGCTCGTAAAAGGCGGCCCTCACTGCCAATTTCTTCCACAGGAGCATACAGAACACGGGCTTTTGCCAAAGAACCTCTCATGCATTCCTACAAGAATCAACATATGTTTCTCTCGTCAAAGATATCAAACAAATCACATAGCCATCAATTTGATGGTAAAAGTTTCTCGCAAACACACATAGTGCTATAGGAAATCTTTCAGTTTACATGCGAGCTTTCCACAGGAAATATTTTAGATGCTAATAACAAACAAAAGAATTACAGATCAACTTTTTAACTTGTATATTGTTTAGTTACTTTATTCTATAGATTTAGTGAATGTACTAGAAGGAATGTCATTCTATATCTTTTCAACAGATAAGTAGCACTTCATCTGAATAATGTACCATTAAAATCGTGCTTAAAGTAGATGCATACCAGTCCCTTCAATCTTATAGAGAGAGGCCGATTATCCAAGGTTTCCATAACTTTTGAGGAGATACTCTACACAGCTACAAAGACATAAATAAAAGAAATCGAATTCTCATAATACATTATTATGATGAATTTAATAAAACTTACCTGCAAGACCTCTGAGGCTTTCTTAATTCGCTCTTTGTTCCATAGCTTAAGCATGAGTACTGTAAGGTGAAATGTTTTAGGTTTGATGAAAATAGATTTGTCAATACCCAGATCTGCAAGAGTGCAACATAACAGTAAAGATGTTATTTGAAGTAAAGCCTATACATTTGGTCCCTGTTGAGTTTCTACATGACAAAGTAAATTTATTAACCATGAAAACAACAGGTTACTAGGTAATATGAACATGTCTTAGGTTTGGGGAAGTAGGCACGACACCATATATAATTTAACAAGAATTCAGAGAACAGGCTCCAGAAAGTGAAAATGATGGTGAACAGTAAATAACAAAACACATATCAAGTGGATATAGTTTCACTCTTGATTCAAATTCTTAAGCTATAAATATCTTAAACATAGCAAACCAGATGGTTTTGATACCAGATGAAGCAGAAGACTTGGATGCTTTAGGTGTGTAGCTGACAAGGGGTATGTTATTAAGATTAACGTCAACTAATTCACTGTTATCATCAACTTTAAGTTCAACTTCAAAACCAGCATTTTCCTTTGACAGTTGATCCACATCTTTGGTGTCAGTAGGACCCTCATCTTCACTGGAATCAGTATCAGTACTTTCATCTTTGCAAGAAACATCTCCCAATATTGAGTGTTGAAAATTTATGAGTTTATCAACTAACTCAGGATGAATTGCCAGTGGAAGGGATATGAAGTGTGAATAATCAAGATTTTGACTATTAACAGTCTGTTATAAAAAACAAGAAAACATGTGAATATCAGTGTGACTGCAAAGTAAACACAGGAAACTAATAGGAAAAATGAGATAAACATAATCAAAGGTTTTTTGAATCTGAGAGACTACCCAGACAGGCAAACTGACCTCATCAATTATAGCCTGTATCTTCTCTGAAGCTGAATTCACACTTTCGATTGAAATGCCTTCAATGGCTGCAATAGACATTTATATTGAATAATTAAGATATCATATTCTGTTATCCACTCTTATGAGAGTGATCATGATTTAGAGGAGCTCCCAGGCTATAGAGAAGGGGGGAGCCTCTACTTTAAACTAAAGTTCTGTATCTCACACTCAACCAATGTAAGACTCATGCTCCTGTTAAACATAATTATGTTTTGGCCTTTCAAAAGGAATTGGATTTTTGCTTATAAAGAGTGAAAAAAGGCAACTTGAACCAAAGGCCTATTAGCATCATTATGATTGTCAAATGTCAATAAAATCTATATTCTTTTGAATGAAAGAGTATTATATTCATGTCAAATCAATCAGGTATAACTTAAATATCTCAAAGAATATCAATAATCAAAATTAAAGCACAAACACGATAAAAAGATAACTATTTCAAAGCTGACCTACACAAGATAGACAGCAGATTAGGTAAACCTAAAACTTACAAATGAAATCCTCTTCTTTTGAAGTAGGTATTATTATTTTAACCCCCATCTCCTCTTCTATCCTTTTCTGCGTGGATCCCCTGAAATAGTATTAAGTTTTGTAAGATGCATATAATCTAATGAACTTGTGTATAAACACAATCTTCTACCCTTTCCCTCTGATAATAACAATAGCAACAAGATTTGTGTAATTGTATCTCACATGGTATAGGCAACATGAATCTCAAGTTAAAACTATTAAAATTCCTAACATGCATTACTTTTCTTTTCACCCTATATATATTATCAAAGCACACTTTCTCCTGTTCTTTTACAATCATAAAAAAATATTTTTGATTATCACTTTCACTGATGTTTGTTATACCTCTTATTAGAAAACACCATAATAAGAAGAGGAAGGTCGAGGGTGTTATGTTATGAGAGAATTGGAAGGAAGAATGTATATAAATAAAGGTAGAGCGATTCAGTGAGGGGTATTGGGGAATTTTAGAAAATAGAGAAGCATAATTTACACACACTTGAGAGGGTAGGATTCTTCCGTAATCTGAGAAGCTTGTGCATTTTGGGATCGTAATTCTTTCTCCTTCAGATCCTAGGAGCCTTTTATGTAATTAAAGTCTACATTTTCAGATTTTTTTTCCCTGCCAGTTTCTATCAATGTTATATTGAGCCTCTCTTTATCTGAAATTTATCTACTTCAAGTTGGCTAAGTAATGTTGTTATTCATTCCATTATGCCAAACAGAAATTAAAAACTAGTTTTTACCCTTTTCCTTTAATAAAACGACATAGAGAAGCACCAACCTGCACAACAAACACAAAATTAAAATGGAAATGAAACACTGAAGCTTATGACTGTCAATCACATAATCAGAAAAGTGACCAAAATGTAAGTGTAGCTCTTTCTTTTAAAACAAGACAAATTAAAGACCAAAAACCAAGGACTGAGAAAGATAGTTCGATTGAAATTTTCGGAAAAGGCAACAAATGATAACATTACTTTTCACAGTGAATTAGTGACAAAATAAATGAGAATAAAAAATACCAAAAAAAAAAACTATGGTGAGATTCAAATAAAATCTAGGAGAAAACACATCAGCAACATAGCCTTTAATGAAAGTCTCCGTATCCTTTGGTATATTGATGAAGTCCTTCTATCTGATAACAAACTGATTAATTCTAGCACTATCGTAATCTTTAATGTATATGAAACAGAAAACACTACATGAATCCTAAGCATAATGAAAAAGAATCAACTAAATATATATGGTGATCACCAGCATGTAACAGATGAAATGAGCAGACATTGGTTGGTATCTCGACATGAACTATCAATTCAAGAAAAGTAAAGGAAGTAAAAAACTATAATCTTGCCTGCACAGAAATTGAATGTTTTTCGGAGGAGACAGATGAAAATCCTTGTAGCACTCTATTTTCAACATTATCCTGCAACTGGCTTGAACTAGTAGCTGATTTAGCAATTTCATCTGTAACTTCAGAAGCTACCTTTACGACATGGTCATTTGAAACAGTGGTAGATGTGCTACAGCCCGTTTCCTGAACTTTGCCCCCATCTAACTCAACAATTGCATCCTCTATCAAGCTTTCTGAAAAACCACATCATTTAATATGAATAACCGACATTCCCAGACTCCCCTCCTAGAGGTAATAAGTATCATGCTTTTTGAAAATCACATTACCCCATGGCATTGAGTTCTTGTCAAGTATATAGCACAAAAATATACAAAAATACTAATTTTGATTGAGGATCTAGACCGTATATAAACATAAAAAAAAATTAACCAGTATCTGTTGTATTACATTTTCCAAAATGTCGCATCAGGGAAAAGATATAATAATAACGCAAAATTGTAGGTAGTTGATACAACCGAAAATTGAACGGCGGTATGTCCTGAAAAGACAAACCTTCAGAAGTACTGGCATTAGTAGCAACTGGTCTCCATATAGAATTCATTTTTTTCTGTTTCATGCTGTGGTTGTCAAGACAAATTTTCTTCTTCCTACCACTCGTCATAAAATTGCAGCTTAAACAATGATAAGTACTCTGGCCCTGTTGCAAATGTGAAATAACTTTAAGCTGAGAAACCGTGACTACAAAAGGATAAAATTAAAAAACAGTAAATAAACAAATCAGGGTAGTAGAAGCCGGGAACCTGAAAGTAATAACGAGTAAACCTTGAATTCGATGCAGCATATGTATTAGTAAATTCGAGAACTCGGTCCAATCTGCAAAGCAAAAGCACATCAAAGATTTAACAAAGAAAGTGCGTAGCAAAATGACTAGAACAGAATCGAAAGATAATTTGAAGTGTGTACTCTACCAGAACAGTTTAGAAATTGCGGACCCTAACATTGATATCGAGAGATCAACTTTGTATTTTTGTGAGAAAAATAGTTCGTTCGACGAACCTGGAGAGAGACCTTCTGCAAGCTATCATTCCCAACGAATGAACGACGATGGCTGTGGAGTGAGAGAATGTGGAACGAGCGCAAGGCCTGTTTGGTTACTTCAATTTTTATATTCCCTGTTCAATTTTTGGATTAAATAACTTTTTCATTATTTAAAAAACAAATCCCACGTTATTTTCATACTCAATTTGGTTTTTTCAAGTGATTTAATGTAACCTTCTGTGAATGTATTCAAATTATTTAACCATGATATAATATAACGTGTATATCATAATGTTATATATGTTATCAGTATAAACATATCCATGTCACATGACATAATTTTTTCTGTTAAATAAGATAGTATTGACAGAAATAATAATATTAAATATTTTAAAAAATAGACCAAAATTATATTAAAAATATTAGTGTGACCAAATTGAAAATAAATATTGTAAGAAAGATTTAAAAAAAAAATTCCAGTTGATAAGGTAGGGTGGTTTTATTTTGTTTCCAGCATCCAAACACAACGCTAATGTCAGGTTCTAATGTGCGCCGGGAGAAAGAAGTTTCCACATGGCGTGGATGAGTCAGCAAGTGACGTGTCACCTCCTGGCTGAATTTCTGTTATCGTGGCAAAAAGCCCATTCGTCTCTCATCAATTTCGTTCCTCCATCGCTGTCCTTCTCAGCTCCATTCCAATCTCAAATTGCAACCATTTTGATATAGAAACTCGAAAACAGCGTTGTAAGAATTGTAAGGTTTCTTATTGTAGAGCGAAGTTGCGAGTTGTATTGCAATATAAAAAAATTAAATCTGTGAAGGAGAAGAGAATGGAATCGAGTCGAAGAGCGGTGGAATCGTACTGGAGATGGCGCTTGATCGATTCAGCAACCACTGACGAAGAGAATGTCACACCTGTCTACAAACTCGACGAAATCTGCGAACTTCTACGCTCTTCTCATCCTACCATCGTCAAGGAGCTCTCAGAATTCATCCTCAAACGCCTCGACAATAAAAACCCCATCGTCAAACACAAGGTACGCATGCAGCTTCTCATTTATCATTGTTATTATTATTCCCTGAAATATGAATATAAAATGTATTGAAATCAGATTCTAATCATTGTGTTGGCTTGCATTTGACAGGCTTTAAGATTGATCAAATATGCGGTTGGAAAGTGTGGTGTAGAATTTAGAAGGGAAATGCAGAGACATTCAATGGCAATTCGTCAGTTGTTACAGTACAAGGGTCAATTGGATCCTCTGAAAGGCGATGCACTCAACAGGGTTGTGAGAGACAGTGCTCAACAGACCATCGCTGCAGTTTTTTCTACAGATGATAACAACAGCAAGCCACTGCCTTCAGCTTCTGCTGATCTCAATAGACGGATAGAAGGGTTTGGGAACACCAACTTTCAAGCGCCTGCTCAGGATAAGAAATCGTTTCTCAGTGAGGTCGTTGATATTGGAAGTGCAACCATCAAGCAAGGACTCAGTGCCTTCACACAAGCGCATCCTCCGCTTATCAAGAATGAAGCTGCGAGTGGAACATACAAGGGCCCCCACAAATTTCGTGGCTCATTCAATGCCGAAACCGAACGTGGCGAGAGGTATGAACCTGCTGCATACGGTTCTGGAATTACTTCTGGACTTTCAAAGAATCAATCTGGTGGCCCTTGGAACCAGGATGCAAGTCTAAGTAGGATGGAAATGTCGAATAGGAAAACTGATGCTGGTTATGCAGAGAGTACGACACAAGAGGAAAGATTGCTGGAGACAATTGCAAGTTCTGGAGGCGTGCGCCTACAGCCCACTCGAGATGCCATTCAAGTTTTCCTACGAGAGGCTGCAAAGTTGGATGCCATGGCTTTATGTCATGCCCTTGAACGAAAGCTCCAATCTCCAATGTGGCAGGCATGTGTATTGTGTGGTCATTTCTGTGAAAATTTGAATTCTTGCATGCTTGCCCATATCAATTACACAATTCTGTACTTGCTATTTTCTGCATGTCGATGTATTTGTCTCTCATCTCATTTGACTTCTTTTTGGGACAATATTTTCAGGTTCGTGTGAAAGCTGTTTGTGTCCTTGAGTCCATCCTTAGAAACAAAGATGATGATAATTGTTCACGTATGGCGACTTACTTTGCTGAAAACAATGATCTGGTTTTAAGATGTTCGGAATCCCCCCAAGCCTCTTTAAGGGAAAAGGCAAACAAGGTAAACTATTTCAACTTCTCATTATTTTATTTTTATTTTTTTCTTATATCAACTCATATTCCTTTTTTTAAAATTACGTTTAGTTGTTTTGACTTTAACCAGATATACTGAACCATGATTAGTTAAAACTGGAATATTGGGGATAGGCATGCCAATAAATCTATGCCAATGCCTAAAATTTAAAGATAGAAATTCATTTCCCTTTTTCTATTCACTCAATTATGTGTGGCATTTACAGAGGTTTCACTTTTTTAGATTTTAATGCATTCCTATTTAATGCATTATGCCCCTCTCTGTCATCATCCCAGGAAGTCTAAATTGTGAGAAAAAAAATTTGACCTGATTATATTGTAATTCCTATGAAAGTATAGATACTGATAAAGAATTTTAGTTACTTCTCAGAACTGTGCAAAATATTATGCAGTTATTTCTTTTTTTTGGTAAAGTTACAAAAACAAAAGGAATCACTCTATACCAAATTGCTTAGAAGGAAGCAGCTAAGTTTAAGAGCGACCTTTGGAGTGTAAGATTAATATTTTATAATTAAATTTAGCTCTTGGTCATTTGATGGACAGGTTCTTGGTCTTTTAGGTGGAGGCCAACTAAACAGTTCCATTAATTCAGGGAAGGCTATGAAGACGGATAGTGCTGCTGTTGCTGAGTTACCTGACTTGTTAGACACTGGTGATTTGAATGACACGCCTCCTCCGGCTCTGGCTGATGTTTTATTTGGAAATTTTAGTTACTCTGGATTAGTTAGTAACGAACTAAAAAATGATGATGATGATGACCCCTTTGCTGATGTGTCATTTTATTCTAATGACAACAAAGAGCATAGCGATGTCTTTTCTAGGATGACTGTTGGTAATGATAAACAGGGTCACCACGTAAGTAATGACAGTTTTGCCACGAATTCCAGGCATAGAAATAATGGAGAGTTTGTTGATCATTTATTGTCTGGCTTGTCTGTTGATGAAAATACCCCCTCCAGTGCAAAACAGAAAGGAACATCCCCTGCCATGCAATCTGAATCGTTATTTTCTGGTTTAAATAATCATGCTAGTCATGTGGGACCGAACAATGGTTTTGGTAGCATGTTGGGCTCTCAACCAGTTGGATTCAATGTAAATTCCATATTTCCCTCCGGTCATCCATCTTATATTACGCAACCTGGCATTATGTTGAACCAGCCATATTCTTCTCAGCCACTTAATTATGGTGCCATGGGAAATCTCTTGGCTCAGCAGCAATTTCTGGCAACAATGGCTAATTTCCAACACCTTAATAATGTCAACAAGCATGATGGTGGTACTGCTCAAAATGCTGGAAGCAATGAAAGAACACCTCTTCCGGACATATTCCAATCAAAATTTTCAACTCAAACTCCTAGCTCTATGATCAACAGTTCAAAGAAAGAAGAAACTAAAGCATTTGATTTTATCTCAGTAAGTCCGGGACTAAATTTATGGAAAATGCTATATTTCATATTTTAGTGTTGTAGCTATAGTTTGAGTTTGATATCCCGAAATATATAGGAATTCGTCATTTGCTTTTTTGTAAAGGCCCTTTTTTGTGTGGAATTGTAGATGTAGAAATTTGGAATTAAACACCTTGAATACCAAATAGTACTGCCAGGATGAATAATTTAGTCCTTCAGGTCATGGTTTCTGCTTTACGGAAACTATAGCTTGAGTTTGATATCCCGAAATATTTCATATTTTAGTGTTGTAGCTAATATATTATTATCATTATTTTCTTTTGTTTAGATTTGTTTCCTCATATATGTAATTAGGACTGATTACTAATTTGTAGTAATCAGACCAGACTTTCTGCCCATAATTCTAGACTGGTATACATTATCAAATCGCTAAACCCTCATTGTAAAGTTTTCAATTATCTAAAATCATATTCATTTTTCCTCACATTTCAAGTTATAGGTTTAAGAATACTGTGCCTAGTTTTTGGTTGACAGACTATCATGTTTTTTTCGTGCTTGTAGGACCATCTTGCTAAAGCAAATGATGCAAGGAGAGTGATTTGAAATTTCAATATCTTACTATTGTGCATAAAGATTTATGGTGTTTCATGAGTGGATTCACACGAATAAATCAAACTGGTTTATAATTTCCAATGGAGAAAGTTGATGTTCTTTGCCATGATGGAGCATTGTCGATGTTATTTTATCTATCCATGTCGTCAACAAAATATGAGCAAAGTTGTCGTAGTTGGAAGAAGAGGAAATGGTTAAATACCATTTCTCTACTTTTGAACGACAATGAACATTAAAATGCTGCCTTTATTTCTTTTAATTCTTTTTGTACGTAGTTGAGATTTTTCGATCTGTATTCCAGGCACTATCAGCAATACCAAATGGGTACATCCGGCACAATGTCAATTTAATCATCTCTTTTAACTAAGGTTGAGAGTCTAATTTAAAGAAAATATATATATATATATATATATATATATATAATTTATATAAAAGATTAAAATGATGATAATCAAAATCATTAATATATATATATATATATATATATATATATATATATATATATTTAAGCATTTTGGTTATCATCATCTTAAATTTTTTTTTTTTTAAGATTAATATGACAAAGGTTTAGATCTTTGAAAAGTTAATTCAATGACAAAATTGAAAGGCAAAACTAATAATGTATATTTTCTTAGAACTTTGCCTCCTAACCAAAAATAACAATGGCGGAAGAGTTGCATTAAAGGGCCAACCAAAATTACAGCTATAAATCCAAACATTCCATAATCAATTGGGTACAGTTTTTTTCTAGTAAATGTTTGGGATTAAGCAGACTTTCGTAAATATCAGTGACACTTTGGTTTTAGTATAAAAAAAAAAAACTGAATAGTAATGACACGAATAATAGTCCCATTTTGAAGTGTCACATCTTGGTAAATTTAAATCCTTGGTTGGAAGGAATGCTTTTGAACAAGAGGCCAAAGCATCCTAGGATGGAGATATATGTTTCTTCTATCACTATCTATGCATAGAATGATTATTGTCCTCCTTCAACAAATTATTGATCCTCTTTTCTTACAAAGCGTGCTTAATTTTCTTTCATACCAATTAACGAACGTCACAAGTTCTTGTACAAAAATATGAATAAAAAATAAGAGAAAATTAAAGAAAGGAAGACAAGAACAAGGGGTAGTGGCGTCAGCAGACCACCGTTTGGTTGTGAATTTCTTTAAAGAAATGGAGAATGGAAATTTGCACAAAGAAAGGTTGAGACAATTCGACCCCATCGGACACAAGAAATGTACGACGTTGACACTTGAGACAAGAGTTGGCCAGATATGCTACACTACACTGAACTAAACGTATCTAGAACAAAAATACGATACCTGGGTGGGACCAAACTAACCTATCAAATCTTAATCTTAACTAAATAAATCTTTGGCAAGAGAAGGGAAACTAAATTTCTATTTTTTAACGGCTTAAGTTTTATTACCTAAACTTAACACATTATTGGTAGGTTAAGGGTCGCTTTATCTATAATCTATCCTTCACTACAACAAAGCAAACCCATATGCTCTGTTTCTTCTCTGCTCAACATCCCTCCTATGTTATCCCTCCATACAACCTAGCACTCACTCTTCATCATCATTCACGGTACTCTGCTCCACAAACATTCCCATTCTGACCAACAATGACCGATAAACTGTGTCACGAAACTCCAAGCAGTAGCCCCATCAATTCCTCCTCTTCAAAACTCCATAAAACAGAGACCCCAAAACAGAGCAAGCCCAAGAGAAACAGAGACCCCACCAAGCATCCCCTTTACCACGGCGTACGAATGCGCAATTGGGGCAAATGGGTATCCGAAATTCGCGAGCCACGCAAGAAATCACGCATATGGCTCGGAACTTTTGCCACGCCCGAAATGGCGGCGCGTGCGCACGATGTTGCGGCTCTGACAATTAAGGGCCACACGGCGATTCTCAACTTCCCTAACACAGTAAACATGCTTCCTAGACCTGCCACGCGTGCCCCACGTGACATCCAAGTGGCCGCCGCGGAAGCCGCCGCGATGGTGGAGTTGGACCGCGAGTGTTTGAAGAAGGAGGAGGAAGAGCTGAGCGAGATTGTGGAACTGCCGAACTTAGAAGAGAGCTTGAAATCCGTGGAGTCGAGAAGTGAGTTCGCAGTTCTTGAGTCTGTGGATAGTTGGTTGTACCCTCCAATGGCAGTGGGAAGCATTTGCGAGATGATGGTCGGCGAACATGACTGTGGATTCTTCCATTTTCAGAGCGACCATCATCAAACATGTTCTGTTTAGTTTAAACGCTTTCCATTTTTCTGAGTTTATGAAACTTCATCTTCTCTCTTCTCTCCTTCTATCAAATTTAACCGCTTTTTTTTTTTTTATCTAATTTGGTCTTTTCACTTTTGAAGACGATAAGTAATAATTATTCTTTAATCATATATGTAATTTCGATCAATTTATGCTTCTTCTTGTCATAATATTTAATAATTTTATTTATATTTTTCATTTTTGTCACATGTTAAAAACATTCTCACATATATAATTGATGAATCAAATTCAAAAAAAATTATGAGCGATAAAAATCAAAATTTTCTTATTTTACACCAAAATTTATAAATATTTTTAAACCTAAATAAATAATTTTGTTACTAGGATTAAAATCAAAGTTAACTTATTTGATAACAATTAGGTTTAAATAATTTAAAAATAAATTCTCTTTTAAATTCTTTAAATTTTTTTTCTATCGTAAGTTTTATATTATTTTTTTATAAACAAAACAATAATAAAGAAGAACTCTAAAATAGATAATATTTTAGATATGAAAAATAATTTAAGGATGTTAAACATTCTTATTTATAGACAAAATATTAATATCTATCGTGAAACTAGTCGAATTTCGCTCTATTCATACTCTAAGTCTTGAAAATTATATTTCGGTATGGTCATAAATCTCATATTATTTATGAATAAATGTCAATAATAATTTATATACATTATCATATTTTATCTCACCAAATTATTTTTTATGAACAAAATCATAATAAATAAAAATATTAAAAAAATAATCAAGTAGAAATTTATCATAATATCAATATTATGAAATATATATTTTATTTTTTTATCTTTCAAACAAATTTACAAAAATTAATCCATCACAAAATATAATCATATACAAAATATAATTATATACGTTGAATCATTTTAATGATATGCTGCAATTAGTTTCATATGTGGTTCACATTCATTTGTCTTGTTATTTATGTAATAAATAGAGGACCCATAATGAGTATAAGGTAAAATAAAATAAGCATTACTAGACATTCTAATTCCACGTGTTTTTATCTCCAAGGGTTTAGAATTTATGCGTGATTGTTATTCAAATCTTGCCGTAGTACCGTATTTTAAACTTTTATTATTATATTAATAGGTTGTTTTGTTAAGTAATTAACAGACTCAATATATGCTCTTGATTTAAACTGAAAAACAATTTTTATCGAGAAATTAATCAACAAATTAAAATTATATTAAATAGTTATTCAATAAATTAAAAAAGAAAAATAAAAAGAGCATATTGGTTTTGATTTGAATCTTTTTATTCACGCGCTTCTCCATCCCCGTGCATGTCACTCTAAACAAAAGAAAATATTATTGAATAAAGAGAATAAAGAAAACACTCATAATATATATATTAATTTAAATTATTTTTTATTTTAATTTGCGTTTATAATATATCAAAACGTAAGTTCCAGTGAAAAATTAAAAGAAATTAAAAAAAATATATTTAAATTATCTTGACTTCTCCTCTAAATTATGTAGCAGTCGTAATCAGTTATAAATGCTGAAAACGACAAGCGACGATGAACACGCGGCACTAGTTGGTGGTCTTAGAATGCTTTCCAATGTTTTCTGTCATATGTAACAGTGCTGCCTGCAACACCAATTAATTAAGCCTTAAGAACTACGACTACATCGAACTTCAACTTCAACACAAACACTTCTCCCATTAAAAAGATTCCACACGGTTCCTTCCTTGCTTCGATTGGCATAAATATGAATGTAAGAAAGTTACTGAAACATGTTTGTCGGGAGAAGAAAGATAAAATCATGGTTGTTGTGTAGCGAATCTGTGTCGTTTTCTTTGGGTATTTACAATCCGAACTCGGTGGTTAACATAGCTGGACCCATTATTGCTTCTTCTTCATTTGTTAATAAATCTTGTTCCACACTATTTAAATCATGATTACTCGTAATCTTGTTTTTATTTCCTACCTTATGAGGTACGTGGCTTAACCACCAAATTGTAAAGCTTATGCCTTTTCCAAAGTTTGTTTAGACCAAAAATATTGGGCCAAAACCAATTGTTGATATTATAAATAGAGAATTTAACTTGTTATTTATTAAACAAAAAACGTTATATAGTGTAAGTTTAGTTTGCAATTAAAAAGAGAGAGATTACGTAAATGTTGTAATTTAATTATTGAAATAAAAGTACGAACACAAACATGAATCCTACGTTCTTACCTTAACAAGGACAAGTTTTTTATACGTAACAGGCATCAAGGACCACATATTGTCCTGCCAGCTTAATTCATATAATTAAGTTCCCAACTTTTTTTTCTGCTAACTAAGACCATATATTTTTTATCTTCCACATAAACAATCATCTCTTTTCCAAAAATAATAAAAAAATTTATTAGTACAATAAAAAAATAATGAAGATCATCACATTTGACCATTACAACCTTTTCCCCACTTAAATTTATCATTTTTCCTCTTTTCAATCATTACAAAACTCATTAGTTGCCTTAATAGGGATTAAAAAAAACACATAAAAAAAATATACAAGACATAGGCAAGAACATCGCCATGTTTTGTCACAATGTCTTCAATGCCTAAGTCTCAAGTTACTTCTTCTTCTTCTTTTTCTTTAATTATGTACATAGTTATTTTAATTACCAATATGTTTCAATGTACAAAAATATAAAAACTCACAATTTAAAAAAATATACTGAACTTAATTTTGTCAAATTATTTTTCAAAAGCATATCAATAAAAAGAAAAGGATAAATGATGGTAAAATGATCAATAAAGCAAAATAAACTCATAAACCGAAAAAAGATAAAATGTCAAATAATCTCTAAACTCATTAAAATAAAATCTATATGTTATAATTTTGAAATAAAACACATGGTTGATCTAAACATTAACTATCCTTATTATTGAAATAATTTTTTTTTTAAATACCCCTCTTTTTATTGAATACATGATATTACAGGTGTATTTATTATGAATTTCAATAATGATGATGATAGTTATATTTGGAAATATTTATTTCTTATAAATTTGAATTATATGAAATAAATACTCATTATGATGTTAGATTATAGCTTGACTTATACAAATTCAAAGAATGGATCTTTAACTTTTTAATCAAACTTCAAAAAGCATTTTAGACCCAATAACAATCTATTTAAGTCAATATAAATATCTTTAATATTAAATTTATTAAAATATATAAAATCATTTTTTTATTTATACTTCTTATGCAAATTGATCCACACAATAATAATCAAACTTATAAGATTATTAAAAAAATTATATTCTGCGTAAATCTAATTAGAAAATAAGTTTTTGAATAAAAATATATATTATACGCACAAAATTCTATACAATATAATAAAAAAACGAAATTATTAATAATAAAAACATAATTAATTTTAAAACACACCCAGTGGGACTCGAACCCACAATCGCTTGATTAGAAGTCAAGCGCCTTATCCATTAGGCCATGGGTGCTTTTTTGATATGAAAATATAACGTAAATGACTTAAATTAATAATTATAAGATGTAAGAAGAAATTGAAGAAAAGGCCAAACCCAAATAAAATAAAATCAAGTTTAAAAGTACCATTTAATTATAACAACTATAAGATATAACTTTATAAAGATTGAGTCTAAGAGAATTACCAAAAGCATGTATTTTCAATATTTTTAAAATATATTTTTCACTGTTAAGGTTCCAATATAAAATTAATTGGTAATATGTGGAGTAGGCTAACATGTATTTAAATACATACCAAATTATATTTTTAGAAGTTTGAATTATAATTTAGACATTCAACCACTAAGCTACTAGAATTTTTCGATTATAATTTACAATAAATTATATTTATATACAAATAAATGTATATCCAAATAAATATATAAATATAATATATTTATATTTTTATATATATTTATATATTTATATATTTTTATATTTATATATTTATATATTTATGTATTTATATATTTATGTATTTATATATTTATGTATTTATATATTTATGTATTTATATATTTATGTATTTATATATTTAGATATTTATATATTTATATATTTATATATAATTAAATATTTATTTTTTAAATTATTTAATTTAATAAATTATTATAAATTAATCTAATTAGGATTAAATTAAATTATAAATATTTATTTTTAAAATTATTTAATTTAATAAATTATTATAAATTAATCTAATTATGATTAAATTAAAATATTAAATAAAAAAATATTTAAATTTTTAATTAGGTGAATAATTAATTTATTAGAAGATATTAAGTAATTATTATACAATTTACCGACGGATATCCGTCGGTAATTAATTGTTAATTTACCGATAGATTTATCGATGGAAATATCCGTCGATAAATAATTGTTAATTTACCGAGGGATTTACCAATGGATATATCTCACGGTAATTAATTGTTAATTTACCGATGGATATATCCGTCGATGAGACCAAATTCTATATTCGTCAGAAATGACCCATTTTTCGACGGTTACAAATTCGTCGTTAAAAATTCATCGGAAATACACGATTTTTTTTTTGTAGTACATGAAACTTTTTTACTTTTGTCTGAAAAAAGGATTAAAATATTATTTTATTCTACAGAAATGTAGAAATAATATTACAAAACATTAGCTGATGAGTTTATTGAATTTGTAGAGTTATATCCTTTGATGAACTAAATTTCTAAACCGTGTTTAAAAAAAAACGATAATAACTAAGTAGAGAATAATAGTAGAGTTATTATTCAATAAAAATATAACAATACTTATAAATTGTAAGTCATTGTATAGGGTTAATATACTTATGTTGAGTTGTATTATAAATGTTTTTATTATAATACAATAAGTCAACATTGGTTATATAAACAAAAATTACTTTTTGTTCACGATCATAAATAAATTTATTTTTTCAAAATTTTGATTATCATATAAATTATAAATTAGTGAGAAAATATCAATATTTTTTTATTTATCAATATTTTAAGTCTATGTAAATATTTATAATTTTTTGTCAAACAACTTTTTTCTAAAAGAATAAACATTTTATATACGTCTAATTGTGAAAAATTTGACCAACACAATGATAATTATAACAATACACATTTAATCATGATAACTATTATAGTACACATTTAGTTATAATATGTCAATAAAATTAAATTTTCTTTATAAGTAAAATCGAACGTATTAAATACTCACAAATTAGTTTTTATCTACCAAAATTTTATAATTTTTATATATGTGTGGAAGTGCGTGACACGGGATCTGGGGATGTGGTCCCTGAAGTGCAGTTTTTAAAGCCAAGAATGATTCATAAATATGATAGAGGTTAACTCTATAAAAATGCAGAGAAGATTTTCAGTGCTCCCAAAATGGAAAAAGGCATTCATAAATATGATAAAGCTGGAAGTTATAATGTTATATATGTCCATATTCCATTTCCACCATGGTTGAAGTTAAAGTATGAAAGGGTATTAGTAACTTTACGAGATCATCATTAGCTCTATGTGGAGTTGGTGAAATTAGAATATTAGGTAGGTAGGTATGTCATGCATCCTTCCTAGGCGACTGAGTTGAAAGATAGTTTGATAATTAGCTTGATCATGTTATCCTTGTGAGGAGGGAGGAGGAAAAGCTTCATATATATATATATATATAGTGGCAGGGAGAAAAGCATGATCATAGCCTTGGCTTGTGATATGGAACACAAAGACAGAGGCAAAGTATGTGTCACCGGGGCTTCAGGCTTTCTGGCTTCTTGGCTCATCAAGCGACTTCTTTTGTCTGGCTACCATGTCAATGGAACAGTCAGAGATTTAGGTTTCTCTCTTACGCTCTCTTCCATATGTCTTACTAGTTCTTAGGCCAAAACAATGTTTGATTCGTAAGTTTGTCATTTAACTAACTGCAACATGCAACAACAAGTGTACAAAAACATTTGTGTATCATGTATATATATATATATATGGTGGTGGTACATGTGCAGGGAAGCAGAAGAAGTATGAATACTTATGGAGTCTAGAAGGAGCAACTGAGAGACTCCAACTAGTCCAAGCTGATTTGATGGAAGAGGGCAGCTTCGACAATGCAATCATGGGATGCGAAGGAGTCTTCCATGTGGCTTCTCCTGTACTCAGCATTATCACTGATCCTAAGGTAGCAAAAGAAATGATGTTTAATTATTTGCTAATACACCATGGTACTAAAATGGAGAATTTTAATCTGGTTGTCAAAAAATAGACTCAAATCTTGGAACCAGCAGTAAAAGGAACGCTTAATGTGTTGCGCTCTTGTCGAAAAAACACAGCTCTTGGTCGTGTGGTATTAACCTCATCATCTTCTACTCTTAGAGTAAGAGATGATTTTGATCCGAACATACCACTGGATGAATCATCCTGGAGCTCCTTGGAATATTGCGAGAAACTTCAGGTAAATTAATCAACATTTAAAAACATGGCACACTCAGTGTTAAGTAGGTCTTAATTTTGCTTCAAAAGAAAACGTGGGTTGGTTCTAAGTTGTAGCATGTATTGAAGGCATGGTATGCAATGTCAAAAATAGAGGCAGAAAGAGCAGCATGGGAATACTGCAAAGAGAACGGAATAGATTTGGTGACAATTCTACCATCATTCATCATTGGACCCAGTTTGCCACCAAGTTTATGTTCTACTGCATCTGATGTTTTAGGCTTGCTCAAAGGTAAAGGCGTTTATCCTAAGCTTGGTACATTTTGTTTGAATAATAATCGGTTGTTGCATCAATTTAACAGGAGAAACCAAGAGATTCCAACTTCTTGGAAGGATGGGATATGTTCATATCGATGATGTTGCTCTTTGTCATATTCTTGTTTATGAAAATGAAGGGTCCCAAGGTAGATACCTTTGCAGCTCTACAGTGATCAATGAAGATGATTTGGCTGCATTACTTGCCAACCGTTATCCTACCCTCCCCATCTCTCAAAGGTAGGTTAATGCCTTCTCGTTGCACTTTAATCATATTACTCCTCCTACCGATTTAAAACAAAGAGAATGATGTAAAAGAAATTAAGAATAATGGTATAAAAATTGCTGAAAAAAAAACTATATATGTAATTGTGACTTACTATTTCTTTTGTTTCAGGTTCGATAAACTGTATAGGCCACCTTACGAACTCAACACTCAAAAGATGAGGAGTCTAGGATTTAAGTTTAAAACTATCGAAGAAATGTTTGATGATTGCATTGCATCTCTTGTTAAGCAAGGTCATCTCAATATCCACCAAGACCAAAATTCAATTTAGCTAAATTTGTTGATATAAGTGCGTTTGTAAGATGAATCTGAATGTTCAATAACATTACTAAATTCGCACAGTACATGTATGTTGTAGAAAGATTCTTATGTGATATTTTAGATATGTTCACTGCTACATATATGTCTTTCAACGTCGGTTATATAAGGCTTTCAACGTCGGTTATACAATCGACGTTGTATCAGGCGATGTTGAAAGTATACACTTTCAACGTCGGGTATAGATAACCGACGTTGAAAGTTTAGGCTTTCAACGTCGGTTATTCATACCCGACGTTGAAAGTGTATACTCGTCGCTCAAGCGAGTACACTCGTCGCTCAAGCGAAATGGAACCCGAGAGTCCCCTTTGTTTGAAGCTTTCGTCGCTTAAGCGAGTACACTCGTCGCTTAAGCGAGATGGAACCCGAGAGTCCCCTTTGTTTGAAGCTTTCGTCGCTCAAGTGAGTACGTGTTTACAACGTCGGTTATGGTATGAACCGACGTAGAAAGTCTATTTTTTTTTTAAATGGACGCTTTGTTTATACAGGGTACCCAATGTTTGTATATATACATACCTGCAAATTTGAATACAACCCAGGCAGACAATGTATAAGATATAAACAATTGAATGTGCATCCAAAAATAAAATTGTATCCAAAATTATAGTGTATCCAACTACTTATCTACCAAATACACTAACTACTAATCTAACTAATAAACTAACTAGTAAACTAACTAGTAAAGTAACTAAACTAACTACTAAACTAACTACTAAACTAACTACTAAATTAAGTACTAAATTAATAACTAAACTTGCCTACTTCTAACTTTAACAAACTTATCGGCCCATGTGTTTCTAATATCGTCAATGGTCTCTATGGGCAATGCTTCCCTGTCTGAAAATACCTGTTACAAGAAAAAAGATAATTTAACAGAGTATCCAATGACATAATACTGGGTCTTTTATTGAATACTAAATTTAAGCAAACCTGATTCCATGTATCCTCAGTCTTGCTAACAACAATCAGCCACATCCAAGTGCATAACATAATATCCGCACTCATAAGATCCTGGTTGCCTATTACACTACAAAAAATAATATATTAATTTGACATATAAAATGAATGATATAATACATAAATATAAAATGACTTACATTAACAAAAATCCAATCTGAGTCGTGCTTTTGCTTGTGTGTACTCCATCAATTGTATTGCAAACCTTAAATGCACTCGTGCAATACAAGATATAATGAAACAATTAAGTAACAAAACAATTAATAATTATTTAAATTATTATAAGAATGTGTACCTGTTTACAATGTTTTTAAGATCTGCATCAGGTTTCTTGCCCAAGTGAGCGTAACCAAGCCACAACATTCTTCTTTGGGCAAACAACCAACAACTGCCAATGATTTCTGCTTACATTACAAAAAGTTAGGATAATACAATACACTATAAAATTTAATGCGAATAATTTCATACGCTTAAATACTTACCGATGGTGGTAAGCACCCAAGTAAACTTTCTTCCTTGACTTCATCATCCAATTTTGGATGTATATTTGAACTTCTTCTCTCTTGTTTCCTGATTTTTGTATGGATTGGGGCTCAAAAAATCCATACACATCTTGGGTGCGTTGTTCCTCCGACAATTCATTCATCATCCTAAAGTAGCCAGTTCAATGTACATTAAATATGACGATAACTTCAAATAACATAATTAGTAAATAAAAATAAATACTTACATTGTCCAAAATTGTAACACTCGCTATGTTTAGACACCGATTGCCAACTGCTATCTCCACAACATCGGTGTGGTCAATGTAAAGGGGAAAATTCTTATTGTCTACCCCTAACTTATCAACATCCCACTTCACTTGAAAAGATTGAATATACAACCGTGGGACAACAGATAGTAGTTGAAAAATTGGATTTTCCGAGACATCTACATCCTTACCTTTACTAGTATGGGAAGTAGGAACCAGCTTTAGGCAACTCGGGATGGCTTCGAACATCCTACATAAAATAACATTGACTTGAGAAATAATAAAAAATAGTACCGGACTACATATGATAATTAACAGAAAGTATATGCAAACCTTTTTCAAAATAGGCCTGATTAGATGTCTAGGCCATGCAATGAAGGTCCGGAGGGCCTGTCCCACTCGTCATCACCTCGTCCGTAGGCACAGGTACAAGAGCATAAGCATCTCGAACCTCTTCAATGACCACTTTGGCCAAGTTAGGTGCTAAAGGCACACTATGAATTGTAGAGGTCCCCTCTTCAATTGAACCAACCGCCACCAATCGTGGTTCGGATCCATCCTCATCAACATAAAATTCACACCGACTCGATTACACAAAAATAAGACATTAATTATTTAATATGCACATGAATTTTTGTCATTAAGATATCATCCACACATACCCGAGTGGTCGGTGTCTGCAACAACAACAACAACCTCCCGATTAGTAGCAGGAAGGTCTTGCTCAGCAGTATTTGGCTCAAGACAACTACCCTTAGTGCTAACTCGTGCGGCAGATGGAGGAGGAACATCCATAGGTGGGTGGGTAGGCTGTGTGACACCTATGGATGCTAGACTTGAACCAAATACACGCATCATCTCCTCCCCGAACTCGTGCGGTAATGGCTCGGTGTCGGCGTCGCCGTCGCCTCTTCAACCATCGCCGGTCTCGGCTTCGCTATTAGACTCTCCTCCAATCCGGCCATCTCCTCGCCGGCTCAATGATGTGGTGTGGGTATGGTCCGATGATGGAGCTCCAAAATATGCTCGAATACCCACACCAGCTCCAACAAGCACGAACACGCCCGGGTGTTCCGGGCGTCCAATAATAGTAGTTAATATATCTTCACGACCACTGGGAACGAATGTTCCCTGTGTATACTCGCTCCTCTAAAGAATCCTACAATTGAGCATTATATATTGTAAAAAAAATTGATGAATGACAAAGCATGGTTAATGAGGTTGAAAGAAACTAATTTGACTTACAATCCGCTCAGCAATCAAGCGAGCCTCCTCCGATGTCATTTCACCGGAGGGCTTTTGCCGAGCCCTCTTCCATTTTTCATGACGTTTTGGAGGAGATGGTGGGGAAATTTCTTCCCGACTTACACCGGAAGAGGCTAACTCAGCTTCTCGGAGTTTAGCCTTCTCCTTCATCATGCGTTGCGTCAACAAATCATACCCCCACGAGACGTACAGTGGGGGCCACATTCAGACCTCCGAATCTCCTTTCCTTTTATTCGCTTCTCCTGCAACATAATATCATATTACAATGTGCTAAATTAATAAGACAATATGGAAACATACCAAAGTTTTTAAATAGTAACATACCTCCCATTGTGGACCAGTCCTACTCCCGACAAACCGCTTCCAAGTTTCTCATCTATGCCATAACGCCGACAAGGAGTTAATCCTTTGCTAATGGCTTGGTCATTAAAAATCCATTTTGAAGTCAATGTCGACTTGAATTGCCTCCACATTTTGGCAATAGATGACATGACTTTTCTCCTAACTTGTTCAGAGTTAACAATATCAAAGTGATTCTGCAAAAACAACAAAATAAATTAGGATAACAAAGTTTAGGATCTAACTTAACTTAACATAATTTAACGAGTTAACAAAACTCACCAAAATATCTTGCCAAATTAAATTTTTACAAGTCTCCTCCACATAATCCCAAGATGGATGCAAAATAGATACCTAATTATGAACTTAAAATGTTAGATATCAATCCATTTACATATGTCGACCATATATGCATAACAAGTTAAAAACTCTAAAAAATTACATACCTTTTCTCTAGCAAGAGTACCCAAGTAGGACCTAAATTGAGTGTGATGTGGCCCCGATATTTTGCCAGTCTTTGGATCCACACTCACAACCAACTTATCTCCCGCCATATGACGAACGGTCAACTTTTTCAACCGTGTGGCTTGTCGAGTCCTCTTTAGAGATGGGGGGTGGACATGCCGGAGGAGATGCTCGGAGGAGATGCTCGGAGGAGATGGTGGAGGAGATGCCATTTGCCTCGTAAAAAAAAAATAAGTTAAGTTTTTGCATAAATTGGAATATAAACACAATTTATCACATATTTGAAATATAAACACAATTTATCACATATTTTCAATATAAACACAAATTAGTTATGAACACATAACTTAAATAGTTAAGTTTTCCCATATGCCTTCATCATGATCTTTACGAATAGCATGAACCAAATCTTCTTGCATATCATCAATACTACTAGGCATCCGTGATGGAGTGGGGATGTTAATAATATCATCTAATTCATCATCTTCTTCATGCATAACATCATTCCCTTTTGCTTGGAGTACCACCGACCATCTGTCATTACATGGATCAGTTACATAGAAAACTTGTTTTGCATGGTACGCCATTATGAATGGTTCCTCCTTATGTCCTATCTTCTTAAGGTCTATCAAAGTGAATCCCATTTCATCAGTTTGAACACCAGTATTAATATCAATCCATTTACATTTGAATATAGGAACTCTGAATTGAATGTAGTCAACCTCCCAAATCTCCTCAATCACTCCAAAGTAACTCATAGACGCCATAATTGGGTTCTTATCCTTTGAACTAGAAAAGTGCATGAATGTCGCCTCAATAGATACTCCACTATTTTGGACTGTACTTTTTTCATCTTGTAACTTTGTGTAGAATGAGTATTTGTTAATGTCATACCCAGTCCGGCAGAGTTTCCTTTGTTTTTTGGCAACAATTTTAAATGACACAGTGAAACCTGACAATAAAAAGCCTCACGGGCATATTCAAGCAGTTCAAGTATAATTGTACACATCATCAATACATTGAAAAAAACTATAATATGACTAAGAATTGAATCAACAGTTAACGGCAAATGACTAACAATCTCTACCTATGAAATGTAGTAAGTAAAATTGTATGACTTTGCCCAACAAATATAAGTGCAACAACATCGTACCTGTGGTTTAAGGCAGCGATGAAGGTTCGCACCACAGAGAAACAGAGCAGCACGCACCGGGGTGGAGGTGAAGGATGCAATGCGGCGTTAGGGTCGAGGCCGTGGTGAGCGGACAATGCAATGTGGGTGGAGGCTGCGGTGGGGGTGGAGGGTGGGCGACTAGCGTCGCGGTGGGGTGGAAGCCGCAGTTGGGTGGAGGTGTCTGCGGCGGGGTGTCACGCGGTGCGCGGTGGCGACGTGAGGGAGGGCGTCCGGAGAGTCCAAATGACGGTGGTAGGTGGTGGCCGCGATGCTGGAGAGTAAGGGGAGTGGGCGCGATGCTCGGAGAGTAAGGGGAGATACAAAAATGGTAGCCTATTCAAGTGGGAAAACGGGGTTTCGACGCTCGGCTATACTCACACCCGACGTTGAAACTCGATTTATCTCCAATCATATGTTTTAATCGATTGAAACGAGATTTAATCGATTAAAACAGCTTCGATCGGTCATAACTCGGATTCTGATCGATCATCCTCGACCCTTTAAGAGATTTTAATCGATTGAAACGTGTTTCTAATCGATTGAAAAATTCTGATCGCTCATAATTAAAATATGATCGATCACATTTGATTCTCGATCGGTCATATTTGTATTCTGATCGGTCATAATGAGTTCGAAGGGTTTTCAACGTCAGGTGAGGGCATAACCGACGTCGAAAGCCTACTTTCCACGTCGTGCATGCTAAAACGACGTAGAATGTGTCAAAATTCGACTTTCGACGCTCGGTTGTTGACCAACCGACGTTGAAAGCATGTTCAACGTCGGCTAAGATGTAACCAACGTTAAACAGCGACGTTGAAAGTATATTTTCTAGTAGTGGTTTATATTTTTGTTTTTATTAATAATAAAAAATTAATTTGAATATTTCAAACACAACAAAGTAAAGACAAGGTTACGTTTGAGTTGTGACGATAACACATAAATCAGGTCAAAATTGAGTGGTAGTTTTCTTTATATCTTGGTTTGGTCGACAACAGAGAAAAAATCACGTCCTTGACTTGTTAGAGGGTGATATAAATATCCATTTATTCCATGTCATCTTCTCTGTCTTTAACTAATATATATATATATATATATATATATATATATATATATATATATATATCACAGAAACCTTGAGTGAAATTTGAATTATGATTTTATTTAATATAATTTAATTTGTAGAATGGAAGTGATAACTTATTTACTTATACAGTCAATCAATGTATCTGAATGAACCGGTATTTTTAAACATTAAAAATAAATAAATATTTATATTGAAATTTAAAATTTAAAAAGAAACACTTAACTTTCAGCGTTATTTCTAGATACACGTCAAACATTAACGTTTGAGGCGATGAAGTTGAAGAAACTTCTTTGTAAAATCTATTGGATGTAAACAACATTGACTTTGAGGTGGTTCTTGTTGCAGTGTAGCATCAATTGTCCTCGTGACGAAGGTCGAGTGGCGAAGTCACAATTGAATCGTATGCGCTGAATGTTAAAGTAAAAAGAGTTAGCGCCTGACTAATGGCTATAGCTTTTGGCCTAGTGGTAAGCGCTCGATCCTAACAATTGGTATCGTAGCCAAGGTCACGAGTTCGATTCCTGGTGGGCAATTGTTGAGGGGGAGATTGTTGCAGGTTGCACAATTGTCCCGTGGCAGAGGCCGGGTGGGCCAAGTCACAATCCAAGAGTGGGATACCTTGTAGGACAATTGCTGAGGGGGAGATTGTTGCAGGTAGCATCAATTGTCCTGTGACGAAGGTCAGGTGGGCCGAGTCACAATTGAATCGTGGCGCTTGGGCTGTTAAAGTAAAAAGAGTTGCGCTCTGACTAATGACTATAGCTTTTGGCCTAGTGGTAAGCGCTCGATCCTAACAGTTCTAACACAACGGGAATTTTCCTTGAAAATGTTGAACTGATCAGTGCTCGACATATTCGTCCAAAAACACACGCTAAATTGCTCATAAGTCAATTGTCTGCACATGCTCTTTACCTAGGATAATTTTCCAAGCATTTCCTACATGGTCTTATTATAAAGGGGTCTCAGAACTTTTCTCTATTTAGATTATCACTGCCTCAAGGACTTTCAAGCTCAAGAATATGGATCCAAAGTTTTATTATACAGTTAGGACCAATGACATAGCCACATTTTCAAGCCTAGTTAATGAGAATAAAGAAATTCTTCATCAGAGAACTGCTGATTCCTTGAGCACTCCATTACATCTTGCTTCCAGGTACGGGTGCACTGAAATAGTATCTGATATTGTGAGATTGTGCCCTGTCATGGTTTCTGCTGAGAATAAAATCCTGGAGACACCAATTCATGAGGTCTTGAAGTTGCTCTTACATACCAACTCCGCAGCTGTTTGTAAGATTAATCTGAATGGTAAAAACGCTTGTTTTCTAGCTTGCAGCCATGGCCATGTTGACATGGTTAATCTCCTGCTCAATCTATCTGAGATGGTGGGGCCAGAGGCAGCAGGGTTTGATCAATCTTGTATCCATATTGCTGCATCAAGAGGGCACATAGGTAGACGTAAAATACTTTTTTCTCCGTTAAGTTTGAGTATTTTTGAATTTTTATTTAGTTTTGTTAGCAAGTTCCACATCCACTACTGAGTCATACATACCTGGTTTGACAACAATTTAAAGTCAACTGATTTTAAGAAGACATCTAACAATTTTAGATAGTTCATCCAAGATATTTTAAACTTTCTGTGCAGATGTCGTCAGAGAATTGTTGAATGTGTGGCCAGAACTTGTTGAAGTAATTGATGATGATGGGAACTCACCATTGCATCATGCTTGTGATAGGGGACACAAAGAGATTGCATTCATCCCACTCAAACGTGATTCAAATCTTCTCTTACAATACAACAACAATGGCTATACGCCATTGCACCTAGCAGTAATGAACGGGAAAGTCTCAATCCTTCAAGATTTTGTGTCAAGCATTGTTGCATCACTTAACCGTCTCACTAGAGCGGAAGAGACAATATTTCATTTAGCTGTGAGATATGGATCGCAAGATGCTTTGGAATTCTTGGTGGATGTATCCAATGGGACCAATCTATTGCACTGTCAAGATCGTTATGGCAACACTGTCTTACATCTTGCGGTTATTGGCAAACGCTATAAGGTGAGCAAGTAATGTCATACAGATCTATTCATGATATGTTATCAAGTATGTCATGTATTACTCTCCCTCTTTCAATATCATTTAATTATTGATTCTGTGAAGAAAAATTGCTCGGATTGTAATCCTTAAATTTGAACTTGCATCAATTAATATAAAGAAATGGGTTCTAACAATTATTCTACATCATAGCCAATCAAAATTCATAGTCTTCATATGTCTGTAGTTGTCCTCATAGTTTGTTTATGCTAATTGTAGATGGCAGAGTTCTTGATCAACAAGACAAAGGTGGATATTAATGCTCGGAACTATGAAGGGATCTCAGCACTTGACGTCCTAGTTCAGGCTAAGGACAGTGCAGAAAATAGGCACTTACTAGTCACTTTAATCAGAGCTGGTGGCGGAAGAAGCATCCAATCTTCCCCTTTTTCACGGGAAACAGAGAAGACCAGTTCTGTGTCTCCTGTAGCATCTACTATTTCTATGTCATGGAGGTGTACACCTAATCCAGTGGAATTGTCAAATCAAAATGAAATGGTTACTTATTATGATTGTGCAAGTCCATCACAAGCTGGTAGAAGCACCAAATCTAGATCACCTTCCCAGCCTCAAGTGAGTGAGATATTTGAGAATGGAAACGATAAACCATATTACATCTCCCCAACAAATTCAGGGAAACAGAAGAAGCATCAGAACAAAAGAAAAGTGGAAAATCCAAGTCAATTTTATTATACTCAGAGCAACAGGAGTAAGCTCTATGAGATGCACAAAGAGGCAATACTAAATGCCAGGAATACGATTACAATAGTTGCTGTTTTGATTGCTACTGTAACTTTTGCTGCTGGCATTAGTCCCCCTGGTGGTGTGTACCAAGAAGGACCAATGAGAGGCAAGTCAATGGTGGGCAAAACAACAGCCTTCAAGGTCTTTGCAGTAAGCAACAACATAGCACTATTCACCTCTATATGTATAGTCATTGTGCTTGTTAGTATCATTCCATTTAGAATAAAAGCACACACAAGACTATTGGCAATCACTCACAAGGTAATGTGGGTGTCTGTGGCTTTTATGGCAACTGGTTATGTTGCAGCCATATGGGTGATCTTGCCACATAGTCCAGATATGCAATGGCTATCTGTTGTGCTAATAGCCCTAGGTGGTGGCTCTCTGGGCACAGTCTTCATTGGTCTCAGTGTGATGCTGGTTGAGCACTGGCTGAGAAAATCAAAGTGGAAAAAGATTAGGAAGGAAGGTGTGGATGTAGCTGCAGACTACGAAAAGGAAAGTGAAAATTCAGATATTGAGAGCTCTTATTCAAAGGGTTACCATTCATACTGATTAATTTGGCTCCAAAATGTAAATGTTGTGTTAAAAAACTATATCACAAACTAGAATCACCCAGAAAAAAATCTAAAACTGAAACGAGGGTAAGAGTATTGGAAAATGTTAAAATTATTTCTTACCATCTTTCTCTGGAATGGTTCTCCCTAACCTTGTTTCTTAATTGTTTGAGTATAAATAAATTTAGACAAATGAAATGGTGCATCAATTTAAGGTGTGGAGTGGAGAGTCTTTCAACAAGACAAATGAAAACTCAAACTTCTATGCTTGTTAAAGACTTTTATAGTTGAATACTTTTGTATTTTTTTCTTTGAAAGTGCATATTTTTCGTTATCATAAATAAATGGATTAATTTGTATTTTAATAATAACAGAGCCTTCAAAATGAAAAATGAGACAGATAAAAACTACTTTTATGACTTTTTTTTTATTTTAATACTAAATTGAAAATTTCCAATATTTCAAAAGATTAAATTGATTTTGTACGCATTTTTTATTTAATGTTGTCAATAAATAAAAATGTCAATCTTAAATATGTTTATTTAATTTTGTTTTAACTGTTATTATAATAAAGATAATTTCATCACTCAACAATTTTATTTTGATTGGATTAAAGTTATTTAAATAAATAAAAAATTAATTTTATTTATTCTAATTTTGTTTGGTTATAATTAAAAAAAATTAAAAAATTCAGATTTTTTTTTCGACACCATATCCAACTCAATAAAAAATATGTATGGTCATGTTTTTTAAAAGATTAGAAAAATAAAGATAGGTAGGAAAAGAATAATTTCCAATTTGGATATGTTTTCTTTATTATAAATGTATAACTTAATTAAATGTTAAAATAAAGCTAGTTAACAAACTCTACAAATTTTGAAACTAGAAAAAAAAATAAAAATTGGTATACTTAATAAAATTAATTTTTTATAGAAATCTATTAAGTGAAGAAAAATTATTCAAGGCCTGCAATTAATTTTAATTCTTCCTGGTCATCAAAATTATTTTCTTTCGCAGATTCCACATCATGAATTATGCAGTTCCAACGTTGAAGTATTTAGTCATACACATCGTGTTGTGGAAAATCCTGAGATTTGATGATAAATTGAAACAATGATCGTGTTTGTGTCTATTTTTTACCTTTTCCTGGTCATCACAATCATTTATTAAAAAACTGTAAGGTTCAAGCATGAATAATTCAGGTTGAGTTTGAGTGATAATACAATAAAAAATACAAAAGCTCCAATTCAAAAACAAAAGTTTGCATGACAGAAAGTCAAATACTAGAACCAACAATGGTGTCAAAGTGACTAGAAGAGAAACTGCAATGACTAACCTAAGCATACCAGAAAGCAATAAACAAAAGCAAAACTAGTTGGTCATTGTAACCTTAACAACAAATTCATGGTGCTAACAGCATCACACTAACAAATGTGACCAAAACAGAACTAGAAGTTGCAGTAAGCACCACAGAGGCTGATGTTGAATCATCTGAGCTTTGATCAAAAGGTGGAGGATCCATTGGTGGAAAACCTTCCGGTGGAAAGCCTTCGGGTGGAAGAGAAATGGGTGGTGGAGATGTAAGAATAGGATGTGGATGCATCACATCCACAACTAATCTTTGCCCATTTTTGCAGTGGTCATTGGTTCCACTAATGAAGTAGAAGTTCCCAGGCCTGTCAAGATTAAAAGTGCTCTTACCATTGTTAAAGGCTGTGATAGGGTTACTTGCGTCACAAGTCATGTAATCCAATTCCTCCACTCTAAGAACTGAGTCATTCTGGTACTCAAAAACTGCATAAATGATAACATAATTAACACATTTTTTCCCCATCTTTAAAGAGTAGCACATATTTTCCAGAGCAACGTTACATATATTAAAAACTGGTTCAATTAGCATGGAGTGCTGGAAAAATCGTATGACAAGTGTAACAACACAAGAAATGCGGCAAATGAAAGTTGCAGTATCATTGAATCAATGAATGCAGGATATTCAACAAGCTTACCGAGAGCATCACCGACTTGAAACCTGTTCCTTTCAGCCCATTGGCTATAAAAATCAGTATTGTTGAGGGCAGGTTCATGCCAACCGAGGATACCACCAACTTTGAATTGAACGGAAGCTTGAACACGAGTGTTGGTGGCGGGCATGAAAATGATGAGAGAAGTACATAGGATGAGGAAAAGGGATGATGCCATGGTATTGTTTTCTTCTTTTTCTCCAAAGAATGAATGTATAGAAGCAAAAAATGGTGGTCAAAGAATACCAAGAGAAGAGAGGAGTATATATAGAGGGGATGAAATATTGAGGTAGTAAATGAAGGTTTAGTGGGTGGTTTTGGTGATAACGTGTGAACAGTACGTGGTGGCGGTTGCACTTCACAATTTTCAATCACGCCTACGTAACAGGTAACGTGATAGTATTATGGGAAATTCAAAAAATTATATTATTGGAATAATCAATTCGAAGCTATGTTTCTCATGATTAGAACCGATATATACCATATTTTATTTGAACAAATAATTTTTTTTAATCACCTACTATAATTATCGATTAGAGACAAAACTAGGAAATTACTATTTTTTTTAAAATCAACCAGTTTTCCTGTTTTGAAAGGGAAATAAAATAATCTTATTAATGGAACCACTTTTCTTTTTTCTTTTTTATTAATTTATCCAATTTCAAGCACAAGGCCAAAACAAGGCATATAAGCTAATTTCATAGCAGCGTATAACTTGCAATATTGACACCAAGAGCAAATAAAACTAATAAAAAAATCCTTGAATATAATATCTTCTCTTAGTTTTGTAATTTGTTGGTCCAGTTTTTCGAATTTTATTTGCTATGTAAGAAAAGAAAATCTTGTGTAAAATTCATCAAATACATAATGGACATGATAGGCGTATCGAAATTTTTAAACAAATGTGGGGGCCAAACCATAATTCAGATCACACAAACCAAAACACATAATCATATTATAACATTAGTTAATAAAGAAGATTGATCTAAACATAAAGGAGTAAACGAACGAAAACACTAAACTAAGTCCATTATGGAGAACGGAAGTACACATAACTCAAGTCAGTGAAGGAGTAAAAAAGGTTAAAGAACAACTTAAATTTCTCAAAAACAATTTTTCGTGAAAATTAGCTAATGCTTCAAACACTATTTTAATTTTCAAAACGGCAAAAATAATGCTTAAACAGATGCCCATTTCTCAAACACACCTTAAATGGGCTAGAGCTGCAAATTACTCTCATTTTCAAATTAAATGAAATTTTATACTGTGAAAAACAATGCTATAGGTTAATACTAGTGCGAAAGCCAAGTCGTTTGTCAAGCTCTGACAACATATCAAGTTTGCTGGATCATTAAGTCAAACATATCAGTGATAACTTTTTTTCTTCTTTTGAATGAAATGACTAGTACTGATTTATCTTTTCATAACCAAAACCTTATTCCACTCTGTTTAGGGCGTATAAATAAATTTAAATGGGAAAAAATCACACAAGGTTTATGTATGACAATAAATAAAGGCGTAATCAGAAGTGGGACTTAAACAATAGTTCAGGAATGTCTTCCTGTGCAAAATAACAGTTCAGGTTGTAACTTGACTTTCCACCAAAACGTTCCGGCAAAGGCTGACTCCCTAAAGGCCCAACAAAATATGTCCGTTCTCCGTGGAGTACTTGGTAAAGAATGTAATATAATACAGCAAGGTACACTAAATATGCATACAGTAGAAATATTCCTCCAAAATCGATGGGGCATTTGGCCCTGTGGTTCGTCATGCGTGGGTACTCAAACTTGTTTCCTTTCCACTATTAATCAGGTTTTGGAATTCTCTACACTTGGCAATTCTTATGTCAAGTACGCTGGGTGGCATTGGTTTTAGGGAGCCGTGCAAATCTACTAGACGGAAGAACTCTTGTTTGGTTAAGCTTTTCTTCTCAACCAGTTCATTCACCACAGCATCCATCAGCGTTCTATTTTGCTCCAGGATCTGAATGCAAAACAAAGTTTTTGACAATTAAGACTCAAGCAACATGTTGACACTTTTACTAAATAAAGAGAAACAAATAGTTTTTTAACCCTTATTCTTTCTTCCATTATGACATACCTCTTTTGCTCGTTCATAACACGAGTCCAGAATTCGCATTGCTTCCGAATCAATATCCTGAAATGAAGTATATTGAAATCGTAAGTTGGCAAAATATTATCATTGACAAAGATGATGGCAAGTTATTCCGCTTCTGCATCTCCACTCGTATATTGGTCCACATTATTTACAATCTTTATTCAAGATACATTCATTACAAGGAATTCTTGTTTAAACTTATAGTTACAATTGTAAATGACGCCAAAGCTACAAATGCATGAGAAAATAAAATTTGAAACAGAATCCATACATTAATTCGGTCTGACACCCAGAAGTTGGACATGCCATGATACTTCTCGGAAAGCCCACCAAGAACAAACGTCCTTGCTGCAGACCTAGCATTGTCTGCAGTTTCAGCCCATATCGTACTCAACTGAAAAATTGAATTAAGTTAAATATTTCTACAGGTCTTAAATGTACCCATAATATGATATAAATAAATAAAAAGGACCACAAACAAAACATATGACACAGATAACTTGTGCACTGATATAAAAACTGTAATCTATAAAGGGAAAAATGCAGTAAGTCATAACGAACAAAATCAACAAGAACTTAGAAAAAAGCCATTTCTCATTTTTCTCCGGCCATATAGAAATTTGAAGTCCATATACTTTTTTTAATTTTCCTTCTGATATCTCAGATTTTACGGACACGAGTTTGTGATCCCACTCACAAATCCAAAATGTCCCTAGAAAAAACATATTTCATATGCCATTCATTCAGGCTACCAATACTTTAAGACATGCACAATGTTAGAAGCAATTTTGTTCATTGCATTATTTGTTTGTTAGAAATACAAAAATAGAGTAAGGGAGTTTGTAGAAAGCATGTAAAACTATCTATTACCTGACCACTCCCAAACCATAGTTCATCAGCTGCACGTGGAGCTAGTTGAACAGTAATATGATCAAGGAGGGATTGTCGACTGCACAATATTAGCAGTTACAAATTAAGAGGAAAACACTAGACACAGTTTGTAATGCAATTTGATCGAGCAGTAATAAATTAAAATGCATACTGCAGGCAGCATATAGCCTTTGAAATCATTATCATCGATTTCTGCTAGTTATAAACAGACAACGATTTCATTCGGAGAGCATTCTCCAATAGCTAAATATATTTTTTAGTTAAGGTTTAATTAAGAACCCATACGTGAGCATTCCATTATTAAATTTGACTGAATCCATCTTCACCCGCACATAGCCTAGTTCCCTACCAGCTCTAGGAGCAATTGTGACCTACACCAAAACAAACAAAAAAGCTAAAATGTCACATTTCTTGGCAGCAACAGTCAGATAACAGATATTTAAAGAACAGAGTAAATAGATTTTTTTTTATGAGAATAAGCCCAATAACAAGTAAATTTCAAAAAGATAGAACAAAATACCAAACTCTGAAGGTAAACTTCCTGAATTGCATGAACTAGAATGTCTACTCTAAAGCATTGTTGATGCATACAGATAACCAGATAAGCAAAGGACAAGCTTGAATTTTTCAAACCATAGTTCTAAGATGCAGAAATTTTCCATTCAATATAAATGTCAGTTTATGTTTTGGCTACATGTTCTTTTTAGTATTGCATCTGTGCTGTTATATTGTCAGCTTCAAATTATATGATTCAAACACAGACAGCATGATACAATATAATATTCACAGATATAGGAATGAAAAAAACACTTATTTTTAAGATGTAGGACAAGCAGAATCTTGTTTGGTTCCTTATTCCATCAACTTAGTTTCTTTCAAATTGACTTCAAGCTCAGTTATTTTTTTGTAATGAAATTAGCCTTTTGCTAATATTTGGTATGTCATGTGCTCAGAAATAATCAGCAGGAAAGATTGCATTCAGATAACTATGCAAATGAAAAACACTTGCGACAACTATATACAAGAGAAAGAATACTTTTAAGGCATTTTAGACATAATTCAATTCTAACAGAATTCCTCGTTTAAAACATGAGAGAATATTGCCAACCAAAGAATAAAATGGATAATGTTAAGCCCTTACAAACTCTATATTTTTAAGATCAGGAAAGTTCACAGCCACAACAGCCATTGCAGCTTCGTTTATAGCTACTTGTTTCCATGTCTCACTGCTTCTTTCCTTTCTATCTAGCATTCCTCTTTCTTCCATTTGTGCAGCTTGCAATAAGTCATCAGTAGTAATCTGAGTAGAAAAAGGAAGAAGTGAAGAACTGCCAGCTATAATCTACAGAAACTTGTAAATCCTTTTTCTTATTACTTCCATTTCTGAGCTCATGTATGGAAGTTTTCTTGTGCCACATTAAGAGCCTCTTGTTGTGGAGACTGAGAAACATAAACTGGTATCATCCTTTAAGAGTTACTAAGAAAAATGAATATATTATTCAATGAAGCTTGCCCTTATAGTCAGATAAACATTTTTATTTGCATGCTTGATTTTGGAAAATATTAAGGAGATTGAACGTGACATGCCATACATGATGCAGCAATGACTTTCAATTTCCTATAAGAAATGCCTGAACAGTAACTATCTGGCAATATTGTATATTGAAGCTATTACCTCGGTCCTTGAGTCACGCATCATATTGATGGCAGCAACCTCAATTATGTTGGCTAACTCTGCACCAACCATTCCATCAGTCATACTAGCAACAGCCATGTAATCCACATCTTCAGCCATTGGCTTTTTACGAGCATGGACCTATGACACCAGGGTGGAAAATTTAATAGGCAAACTTCTTAATGTGCCGTTAATCACAGATCAACAACTATTAATGCAATAAAATAAATAACCAAATCTCAAATGCTACATGCAGGTGAAATATGTAAAGGAGCTCCTACCTTAAGAATTTCTATGCGGCCAATTAGGCCGGGCTTGGGGATATATATTTTCCGATCAAACCTGCCAGGTCTCACAAGTGCAGGATCCAGAATGTCTGGTCGGTTTGTGGATGCAATAGTGATCACCTCTCCCCTTCCTTCAAACCCATCTAAGCACACCAGGAGCTGGAGCATTCAGTCAATAAGGAAACATCAACCAATATATACACAAAATTTTACTTAAGAAATGCAGTTGGGGAGTTTAGCACTGCCAGCTTAACCTGATTAAGAGTAGCATCACGTTCCTGTCCACCAGAACCTTTAATCAAGCCACGCTCCCTTCCAACAGCATCCAGCTCATCAATGAAGACAACAGATGGGGCCTGAAAAATAATAGTGGCTTATGACTGAAGCTGGAGAAATTGGTAAATTTCAAGACTTGACAAGAAAATGCAGTATAATAAAAAAGAAAGGTTTCCGATCAGCTTGAAACAAATGGGATGTGTCAAGTTACGTGCTAATTGACAAAATAAATTTTTTGGTGGAAGCCAGTTGCAAAATCAAACTTATAATTTGACTTTAACAAGAAAGAAAAATTGTGAGAACACAATGGAAATAAAAATATCACATACATTTTCCCTTGCTTCTTGGTAAAGTGCACGGACACGAGAAGCCCCAACACCAACATATATTTCCACGAACTGTGACGCAGAAATAGAGAAGAAATTAACCCCCGCCTCACCAGCCACTGCCTTGGCCAGCAATGTCTTTCCCACTCCAGGGGGGCCACAAAGAAGTATGCCACCTGGTGAAGAGACCAATTAACATTTCAACTTTCAATAAGTCAAGCGATATGAAGTTCCTTTCCTTAATTTTCTATTAGATAAATGAGATAAATACTATATGAATACAATAGATAGTTAAATGTTTATCTAAGAGCAACATTGGGAAATTGCAAGAGCTAGTTCCTGAAAACTTCCTTTAAAATTTCATAAATGTAACTTTTCCTGAAGGCTAAGTTCGTTCATTCAAATTAATCTGTTAAAAGCTTATCATAGTTGAGCAAAACGGGACCTGGTATTTTCACTCCCCTCCTTCGGTACATCTCTCCATGAGTAAAGAACTTGACAATCTCCTCAAGTTCAAGCCGAATTTTTCCCAGCCCAGCAACATCACTAAACTTGACATCCACACCTCTCTCTAGATACTGAGGAAGTCTTTTGTTCTGCGCTCTCCTCACACGTGCTCCCGATCTCATAAACTGCTTCGCCATTTTCATATAAGCATTCTCCTCTTTCCCCTGCTCACTCTCCTCATCATCACCCTCAATCCCGTCCATCTCCCAATCCAGCTCCCTCATCTTCCTCCTCTCCTCGGCCTCAGCCCTCTCAATCTTGAGCCTGTCCTCATAGTCCTTCTTATGCTTCCTATAACTAAGAACCACAGTCCTGTAAAAAAGGTAGAAGAACAGCACCCCAAGTGCATTAGTCACATTGCTATTGTTAGCCAAATCATACCAAAAATAGGCCATTGTCTCGTTTCTCTCACTCGCCTGACGCAACGATTCCCGGTACTTCCTCTTCTTTATCTCCCTCCTCCTCCTCCTCTCTTCCTCCTTCTTCTGAGCCCTAATATTCCTCTCCCTAGTCTCCCTCTCTTGCCTCAGCTTCCTCAGCTCCTCGTCCTTCTCCCTCTTCAACTCCATCCTCATTTTCCTATACTCCGCAGCCTTCTTGGACTCCTTCTTGGGCTTTATTGGGATATCATCAGCATTGTCAGTAAGGAATTTCTGCACAGAAGGGGGAAAGAAAATGCTTGAAAACAGAGGAGTAGGCCACTCTGGACTCTTAATGGGTGGTGTGTATGCATTCACACACATTGAATCAATCTTCAACTCATCCCATGAATCCCAAAACACGCTGTGACTCTCAACCGAAGGCAATACTGTCCTCAACACTCTCGAATCATCCAAGACAACCAGAACCGCTTCGCTACGTTGCCTCAATTTCGCGGTAGTGGGTTTGATAATGTGCTTCAGCTTCCCATCCTTCTTGAGTTCGATGATTTCGCTGTAGGGAAGGCGATCGTGGACCATGGGAAGGCCGGAAGACCATGTTTTAAGCTCCTCCGGCGAGAGAGCTTCGGGTTTTTTGGCGGACTGTTTTCTGGATGAGCGTTTTTTGCCCTTGGTGACGGAGGCAGCGGCGGCGGCGGGTTGGGGCAGGGAGGCGGCGATGACAGTGAAGGTTACGGAGAGTTTGAGGAAGTCGAAGCGGTTGTGGTTTGGGGTTTGGTGGTCGTGGTCTTTGTTGTCGTCATTGTCGGGTTTTGGGGTTTGAATTCGCGAGGAGATGGAAGGGAGATAAGGGGTTTTTGGAAGGATTCTGAATTTGGGGTTTAGGGAAAACGAGGATGAAGGATATCGAAGGAAGCAATGTGAAGCCATGGAACAGTGTTGAGTGTATTACATTCTCAGGTATGGATACTCATCATCCTGGTTCCCTTTCGGATAAGTTCTTCCTTTTCCTCTATCTAATAGTAATAATAATCGATTAGTAATATATTTTAGACACTACTTTTTAAATAATTATTATAAAAATTAACCCATTTATCATTTACTGTTGTAAGCCTGCATACATTTTAGAGTTAATGAAAGTATATCTAATTACTCATTTTTTTAAATATATTTTTATATATAAACTCCGAGAAAATTGCTAAGAAAAGTGAATACAGTGACATTTTGTACCATGCATCAAAAGAATATGCATTTATTTTTCGGCCATATCTAAAGCTCCTCGATTTTTCTCCTTGTTAAACTTTTAAGTTATTTGGTGGTGAGCTTTGAAGGTTTCTCTGCCATTAGTACTTCTGTTCTATTTTACCTTTTCCCAATTAGGCTTTGTTCTCTGATTTGACAAAAACGAATCGAGTCCAAAAACATGCAGCCAATCTGCTCACAGTCAATGGATTCAATATCCCGATTAGTTTTGAATGTGAAGAAGTAACTTTTTCTGCCAGACTCAAAATCCATCAGTAGTTTTGTGTTCTCATTCCTAGCTCACATCACAGTCAATCCCGTAAATAACATGCAAGTATCTGAAAACGAGAAGAAAAAAATGAATAGTGTAGTTACCAACGCAAGAATTTGCGACAAAAATGATCATTCTAGAGAGAACCCACAAAAAATTATATGAATAACTGATAGTAGAGATAAAAAAAATTTATAAAATAAATAAAAACATGCCCAACCACCTAGTGCGTGCATCTATGAAATAATAATTTAACTTGAGCTTGAAATTTTCAAAACAATATGGTAAAAAACCTCCAATGATTATTGAACAACGCAACTACACTTCCAAATTCCGTTGACAGAAGTATTCTATTCAAAGAGATTGCAGAAGCCGTGAACCAAATTTACGTCGAATAAAACCAAAGATTATATACTGCTTCTACTATTCTCTTAGTTCTGCCATTAATAAATTAAGTAGTCAATTACTGATTTCCAAACTTGAATCACCACTCGTTTAAAGAAGGGCAGAAAGGGGTTTTTATCAGATCAGTTGAACATCAAAAGCATATGTTCTTTAGACTAGAAGAACCTAAGCCTTTTCCCATTGCGTCGGATCGGCCACATAAATTAAACATCATTATGCTCTAATTCAAAATCTGAAGTGCATGGACAATCATCAGATTTACATCTACATTGTTCTCACTTCTCAAAACATAGGCGTACTGATCTGTAGTGTAGTCATTGATAAAATTGATACGTTAAAATGCCATAAATTCTAACTGAGATCCAAAGGGTAAATTTTTCAACTCAATCCAATGAACAAGACATGCCGAACTTCTTCAAGGTGCATGAAGAAAGTAAAATCATTGCTTACAACAAACAGAACGATATCAGTTTGATTCAGTCGAACAGCTAATTTAGACTCCAAACATCAAGTCCATGATTTTGGACACCAATGATTTTGTTGGGGAAGCAATGGTTCCCCCAGTCTGCCGTGCAGTGGAGTTGCCATTCTGCGGATAGTAAGGTCGAGCAGGAGCTTTCAAAGTGCTCACGTCTGAGTTTCTAGCGGATGGTAGAGGTAAGGGCATAAATCCTTGATTGTTAAGCCTTTCATTTAAAGCTTGACGTTGCATGGGATCCAACAGTTTCACACCAACAATTAGTACTCCATTAATTTGCATTCCATTCTTATTAAGAGCTTTATGTGCATCAGATCGATTCTGTATCAGCAATAAACCAAGTTGGATGACAAACAATTCAAACTCACTTTCAAAGAGAGTATAGCATGGTTTAAAAAATCGAAAATTGCCATTGATAAGCCTGGATTCAAATATAACTATTGATTTATAAAGAAAAAAAAATAAACATTACATTCAAGCAAGGAAAAGATTGCAAACCTGATACAAAATGTGCATCCAGTTGGCATCTCTAGGGCCAGGAACATGTTTCAAAATTTCACCACATTTCTCAAACTCCCTTAAAACCATGTTAGTATCACCTGGTGAAAACCTGCAAAAAAAGAGCACTGTTAAAAGAATGAATATTGGTATACAAATACAAAGTTAAACTGTGCAAGGTCCTGTTAGTGAAAAAAAGAAATGAAAACATAAGGATAAATAAAAACTTCAAGAAACTCTGCAAACGAAAATGTCATACAATCTTCAAAAATATAATAACTTATCTTAAGTTGTCAACAAAATATTACATAAGGATAAAAAAAGGAAAAATAAACTATTACAAAATACAAAGACAAAAAATTACAAAAAAAAAAATAATACTTCGTTTCTCAAAAACTAACTCCACAAAAATCAACAATCACCCAAATTCTAGTTGAATAAATCATTAAGCACGTCATTCAACATTTCACTGAAATCATTAACACTTCAAGTCGTGAAAGACTCTAGGAATCCGAATGTTGTCCTATTTACTTATTTTTAAGACTTAAAGCTTAAAACAATCTAAAAATTGAAATAGATAAGAAATGAAGATCATAGAAGTGGAGAAAAAGAAAGGTATAAATATACAGCATCAAGGTCAATTATTGTAAAAAAAAAAAGTATGAGTATGTTTTTAGGTCTTAGAATGAATACAGACAAGTGAAAATATATGTGATGAGTATCCCAGTCCCCAAAAAATTTCAAGTAAAAAAAACAAACTGTATATATTATATAAAACAATCTGTCTCACCAACAATGTCACGGTAAAATTCTTACGAATTATTCTGCACCTCTCTTCACATTAAAACACAGATCGTGTACTTCTGTGGAATCGCCACAACCACTCTTGTTTAGGTATCTTTGAGCCCTTATAATCAGGAATCTGAAAAACTAATGTTCTTATCCCCCAATGTACTGAATTAATATAACACACTAGTTATAGGAACTTCTTCATATCATAGAAAACTGGGAATGTAACGCAGATATTACAGAACGGAAGTAACAGCTAGTTCTTTGAGATGCTAACTTCCATGCTGCCTAAAGGCCCCAATTCCATTTTTGTATAGCCTCGCTCTCTCCCCCTTTTTCTTCCTCCTTCCTCAGTCCCCCCCCCCCACATTGGTATTCCCATAATGAATTTTCTTTCCTGCCACTAGCATACTGTCCACATGGTTGTCTGGTGCCTTAGGGCAAACTATATGCCTGTCTTATACACACATGACAATCCATTTACAGCCATTCCGTGAATTATCAATAGTTCTCGACAAGATATCCAGATATAAAACTTTATAAATGAAGGAATTTAATCATTATTGAGAATTTGAGATAGATTATAACACCAATATTTTCCAGTAACTCCCTTGACAATCACAGGATTTATCATTTTATCTCTAGCAATTCTGAAAATAATGAGAACAAAAAGCCTCAAATAACTTCATTTGTCCAAAGTTAGAAAGGCAGTACTTCATATAAACTAATAGTAATGAAGTATTACAAATTTTCATAGTATACTATCGTTTTTTGTCCTACTATTATGCACAGGCAAGCAAGATGATTGTCATTCTTACTCAGATATAGTTGTACATTTGATCTTACCACACTTCACCCAGTAGTCTTTCCAATTGGAATAAGATTTTTCTGTGCTTTAGGAGCCCAGGTATGCTCTGAGCATCTGGAACAACTTTTCTTGATTTTTTTTTGGAGTAAAGATGTACAAATGAAATGCTGATATTTTACTCACACTATATTAGATAAGATAGTGGTAGATTGTACAGAATTTAAAGGACAAACATTTATACTTATATCTGTAGTGGAATACATGTATTCCTCAGCAAATAGACAAACATAAATGCTAAAGCAGAGTCAAGACATACCCATATACAGTTACCCATTCTTCCTCATTGAGATTCCCAGCTGGCAAAGAATTCCTTTGAACCTCAGGCCTTGCCACTTCCAGTGGTGGAGGAAGAGTTATCAAAGCACCAGGCTGAACCACACCCTCAACTGGTGAACTCCTTCCTTTCTCATCTTGTTCCCCACCACTCTTTGCAGTTGCAGGTGACCACCAACTCAAACCTGGCGAGCTCTGTTGGTTTTGTTGTACCCCTCTCAAAGCATAAGATGTGCTAGCCTCAGATTTGCTTTTCACAGGAGTTGAAAATTCCCTATTAGAAGTTTGGATGGGAGTTCTAGTGTCTGACCTAGTATCAGGGGAGACTTGATAATCTAGTATGCCTGATTCAGGAGAAAAGTCTGATCTGTCCTCCAAGGTGAAAACAGGAGGTGGTGGAAGGTCCGAACTACCAAAGTTCTCACGCCATAGTGCAGATACTGCAGCTGCTTGACCGGGGCTTGAAAATTTTCCTCTACGGGCAGAAACAGGTGAAGCTAAATCCTGGAAAAATAAAGACTGCCTACCGGATCTTGGGGTTCTTTGCACCGTAGTGCTCATGATATATTTATTTAACAGCGGAACTAATACCTGCAAACAAGCCGACAGAACAGATGCATTAAACCAAATGGACTGAAACAGCTGACCTAAGACTATGAATCGGGTCCCTCAGTATGAGGGATGAGCAGATTTAACAACCAGATAAATTCACTGCATACAAAGTACTTCCTTATATTGGAACATTTCAGAACATAAGTATCTACTAATTCAAGTTTTTTTTTTTTATCATTTTACTCAGCAACTTAAACCAAGGAAAAAAAAGTAAAATAATAGGATTTGGCTCCTCTAAACTGAGGAAAATACTGTAAATAATGTCAATCATTGATAAGAAAAATAGTTATTGATATTCAAACAAATCCATGATTTGTTATTCATCGGCACATAATTTCTCATTAAATCATTTTAGAGAAGCTGGATCCAAGAAAATAACTAGGCAGACAGCAAATTTTACTATTGATTCGTTACAAAAGACGGAATACGTAAATAAATAGTCAATCCGCAAATTAAGATCTCCATGTAAGATACTCAGACAAATTATTTTACAACCGGTAAGAAACTAGAGAATAACCGGAAATTTACAACGAAAACTTTGGAAATGCCTCGGCCAAAAAAAAAATGGAGGACGAAAGCATCGATATCGCAATAATACTTGAAACTACGCCAAAAGCAAATAAACAAACCAACAAACAAACAAATAGCTTCCTACAAGATTTGTGTTCCCATTCGAATAAAACAATCGGTTCTGAAATCCTCCTTTGACCTGGGGGGGCTGAGATTCAAACGCTATAGACAGTGCAGAAGAGAAAGAAAGAGAGAGTACCTGGTGGATGGAAATGGGATTGAAAGCAGCCGAATGTGATCACAAATGTTGAGTTGATTGGGACTCAATTTTTTAGATTTTGGAATTTTCCCTCCCAAACCCAAACGCTGAAGCTCAGCGAAGAAACGAACTCGCCGAACGGGCAATTCTGTGTATTTAGTAATAACGCTTTAAGTCTTTTTAAATTTTATTTCAAAACCCTAATTCTCTCTCGCTCTCCCCTCTCTCTTTTTTCCTTATATTTTTCGAAACTCGCCTAATAGGATTTAAACACACTTTCTGTTAATTCCAAACCATGGTGATTTTGTGTTAAAAAATAAAAATATTATTTTATATAATAACTAATTTAAAATATATTAAAATTAAATTTAACAATAAAAAGTTATTTAATACTAACTTTGTGTATATAATTGTTATAAATTGGGTTATAGAGGGCTTTAATTGTTTGGGTAAAGAAATCAAAGCCTGGATGGACTTAAATATAAGTTGTAAGAGTCCTTATCAATAAAATGAGAGTTATTCATTTAGATTCGGGTTCCAAGTTCCAACCTTATATTTATTAAGGTAAAATTGATCTGATTTTTAAAAATTAATTAATTTATCTGATTTAATTTTTAAATTATATTTTTTAATAAATAAATATATATATATAATATAAATTCACACGTTATATTAAAAATTATAATTTAGAATAATCAAATCAAAATAATTTTATATAATAATAAATATATATAGATAATATTAAATTTGTAAAATTTTAATTTTTTTAACACCACAAACAATAATTATATTATATTTTTATATTTGATAAAACATCATATTTTTCTTTTTTTAACTAATTTTCATATGTGTAATTCAAATGATAAAAATAGATATAATCAATACTCATTCCATTAAATACATTTTTAAAAGATTTCTTCATGTTTCAATCTTTATTATTCTCCTCCTCACCTTCAATATCGTACAAAATTGAATATCTTATATGTTTAATTTATAAATGACTATATTATAATAATAATAATAAATTATTAACTACGCTCATCGCGAATTAGTTTGTTCTGTCATGCAGATTAGTACGATAAATTAATGTGACAGAATAGAACAAATTTAAAATATCAATTCATTCCGTATTATTTATCAACACTTATTATATTATAACTACACTTAAGGATCTGTTTGTATATGATGAAATACATTTTTTAAGAAGAGAGAAAGGGAATGATTTGCGTTAAAAATTTGTGTTTGTATAAGCCGATTTACGCTAATTTGCGAAGACATGAACTTTCTTCGCATGTAGGAGATGAAAACAAAAAAAGTTATTAATAAAAAATTATTTTATTTTCAAATACACGAGAGACTTGAATATTTTTATATTTAATATATTTATTATGAAATACGTATATATTGTATAATAATAATTATTATTATTAAAAAAAATATTAACAAATAATAATAATATTTTAAATTATATTATTAATAATAATTTAATTTAAAATAATTTGTTATTTTTTTTAATATTTTATTATCATTTACATCAATCAAATTATTCATAAATTTTCATCTCAATTTTTTCTAATTCTCTTGACATTTTATCATCTTCCCTCTCATCCAAAAGAATTTCAATTTCATCTCTCATTCCACTAAAATCTATCACCTTTTTTTACTCTCTCAAATCCATTACTAAATCCAAAATTAGAGAAAAATACTAGCGCCATTCACGGCAACACGTAAACCATTAATATGTAGTACACTAACTCTTTTTGTCACAATAAAAACAAAATCTAGAATACCACGAACACGTTTCTCTTTCAAAAGAAAAAATTAAACTAACTCAAATGTTTTGCAAGTTTAATCAATTGATTGAAATATATTCCATCATATACTTAGCCTCTTAAAGAAGTTTAATTGACTGTCAAATCAATAGTTAAAAGTTAGGGACTTTATAATATATACAAAATTATTAAATACAAATATAAACGTTAAATTTCATAATTGTGTAACAAAAAGTAGTTTTCTTTACAATAAGTCTTCTAATGGAAGATTATCTAATCTCTTGAGTTAATTTTGTAGAGATTATTAATCTTTTTAATCTTATGATTGTTATATTAGTATTTTTGACCATCCAACACTCTGATTGATAAAAAGATGAAGGAAAATATTACGAGTATAATCATAAAAATCATATTATAAGAAACATCACATTGAAATGTTTCCTAATCAAAAAGACCTTATAAAATGAGATAATTCTAATGAGCAAAGAGATATGATTAATAAAAAGACCGAATCAAATATTAAGAGTATAATCTTAAGATATTGTAATAAGTCTCACATCAACAAAATTTTCTTATAAAAATACTTTATAATAGAGAAGATTCTCCGTCCTCTTAAAGATTTTCTTATTAAGAAGATCTTATAAAAGGAGAGTTTTAAAATATTAAAAAATATATACAAATAAGAAAAGAATAAATTATATATAATTTTCACATACTCAATATTACACCACCAATAATTTATTTAATGTTAAACAACCATCTTACATTTACAATAAGAATTAGTATCCTACATACCGTACTTTTTTTAATAAAAAATATTATTAATTATGTTACAAAAATCCACTGAACTAAAGTAAAATATATTACTCTTTAAATTATTATTTAAAAGGTTAATAATTTAATTAGAAGGCCAAGGCCTCTTTATAATATTTTTATGTATTTTTTTCTTTCTAAAATATGTTTTAATTAATTATTCTTTGAAAAAAATGCATAAAAAACATGATATTATTTTGAACGAAAACATGTATATTAAGAAGAATTTGACCTTTGAAAAATATTACTCAAAATTATAATTTCTATTTCTACACCTCCTTCTAAAAACTAAAAGAAAAACACACTTACTAATCCAGACATAAAAATGGTGAATAATCACACTTATTTTAAAACTCTTTTTCATTGATATTAATAAAATATAATTAAATTAGTATAACAAAAATAAATAAAATTTGTTATTACTTAAATTGTTTATTAGAAATCCTTTATCTTTTATCGTGGTATGAATTAAATATATATTAGATTATTTTATATACTATTATTTGATTTTACAGTAAAATCATAATAAAAAAAATCAAAATTTAATTTATTTTTATTATTATTTCAAATTAAGAATGATAATTTCTTTATGTAGTTAATGTAAACTTTCCGTAGTTTTCCTACGTTCTTAATTCGTTATAGAAAACTACTCTACAGTGATCTTTAGATTATTGATTTTCACATTTGCATACATCAATACATGAATATAGTAAGAGAACTAACCTTGATCCATGAGAATCCTTTATTGATCTTTTCGTTCTCCAATCTCCTTTTCCCAATCTATCTCTTTGCCTTTCTTTCTCTTCTCACGCTTCGCTTTCTAGATGGTTTACCGTGAAAAAGACCTTATAGCCAGAGACGTAACCCTAATCCCTTTTATTAACCAACGTCCATCGAGTTGGTTACATTCAGCTTAATATTTTATTTTATCTTTATTTTATTCTGACTTCACATAATAACCAATAGGTCCTTATAATTATTAAATCACATTTGGGCTCTTTATAATATTTCACATGAGTCACATAATGGAATGAATTAATTAAAAATTAATTCTAACATTCTCCCACTTGACCCATGTGATGTCATACGATTCTGTGATTTAATACTTAAGTCATAAAGCGCATTTAAGGACCTTACATAAATTGATTCTATCATTATTCATAATTAAAGATACAGCCTATAACAAGAGTCATGGCGGTTACATATCATTCAATCGACAGTGCTCCCTTCCATGTACCACTATATTATCTCTTTCTCCTTAATATGACTTTATAATGAGAAGTCCATAATGGGTTCAAACATAATATCATTTTAAAATAATAACATAATTTGTTTTCTTCATCATAATTTGCATGCATATAAATAAAGAAGAAAACACAAATTTCGTAAACTTATACATTAAAGATCTCGGAGTGTCATATAAACATTAATAATAACATTAACATTCAACATTCATTACTAGTAAACATAATGCCCATATTTACTATATGGCCAAGAAACAACTTGGGCTGTAATCCCTTTGTTAAAGGATCAGCAATCATAAGATCGTGCTAATATGTTCTATCGACACTCTCTGTTTCGAACTTCTTCTTTAACTGCAAAGTATTTCAATTCCATATGCTTAGCACCTTTGGAATACTTGTCGTTCTTAGAAAAGAAGACTGCCACGTGAATTGTCACAATAAATTTTCAACGGCTTGGCAATGTTGTCGACTACTCCAAGTCCCGAAATAAAATTCCGCAACCAATTAGCTTGAACCGTGGCCTCAAAGCATGCC